GCCACCTTTAACTTAGCGGTGGTGACGTGAAGTCATGTGACCGTGCTGTAGTTCCTTTATAGCCCAACATTAGCTTTTTACCTCTGTAATCATGACATTACATGTTACTTGTTAGACGCTTTTATCCAAAGCGACTTACATACTCAATACTGTGGGCAATCCCCACAGGAGCAATTTGGGGTGAAGTTACATTACGCCACACGCCCCCCACTTTAATCATAAAGTGGAGTTAATATGTGGATGCTGAACTGAACTTGTAATTATCATAAAAGTTTGTTTGACACAGAGATTATTTTCTGAAATAATCCAAAATATCAAATGGAATGGAATAGGGGTAGTGGTGGTCTAATGGATAGTGAGGTGGGCTGAAGATCGGAAGGTTGTGAGTTCAAATCCTGCCTGGAAAACCACCACTAGTGTGCCCTTGAGTAAGGCACTTAGAACCCTTAGTTACTCCAGGGAGAATGTCCCTTGTAATCGGTAATTGTAATTCGCTTTGGATAAAAACGTCAGCTAAATGAAATGTAATGTAATGAACCAGGGAGATTCTGCCTTCAGGGTCCAACACAGAAATACGTCATCACTGCAGCACCACTCTATCGGGATGGGATGGGAGTGGCAGCTCCAGTTGTAATGGCTGTTATTTAACAGGGTGAGGCTTAACGGTTGTTCAAACAACAGAAATGCATGTTCCAACATCACAGCACAGCATTCCTGCACGACGGATGGTAGGAAGCGATCTGCAAGCACTCAAAGCTGATGACAATTACAAGTATTTTATTAGGTTATTAGTATATTCTAAATGTAAGACATATATATGATAACAGTCAAGAAAAGAGCACACTGTTCTGGTATAAATTGCATATCTTTTAATGTACATTGGATAACTGATTACAGAGAGTAATAACAGAATGCAGTAAAGTCCAGTAAGACAGTGATAACCTTTTACTGGTGGATTTAGTTTCAGCATGTAAGAAAATATATACAGCAACAGTTGCATAACAGTTATAGTTGTTTTATGTATAATTATTCCAGTAATGTCACGGCTTTATGAAAGAAAATGGTTGTGAACAGTAAGTGCTTTGTACTTCAAATATAGCTTAAAGGCACTTAGTTTTAGACCTTAAAGATACAAATAAACAACAAACAAATATCCTCCTTTTTGTTTTTGTGTGAGCGGAAAGGAAAGGCAGGTTTATTTCTAAAGCACTTTTCAATAAGTGCAGTTCACTTTGCAGACCATTGACATGCACTAAAACCTATAGAACACACTACAGGAAAGTAAACCCCCCAAAAAGCAGAACAGGGACTCTTTAAAATGTTTGAAAATAGTTGTAATTTCCTTCCTCATAAGCCATTTACAATGTAATCATCATGTATTGTTGTATTACAAAAACAGAAATCAATGGACCTCCATAATCTAAATAACAATAATGTATTTAATAAAAAAACTGCCTTGTAGTTTGATGACCTCTAACATAGCAACGAGATGTTCTGATTCATCTCTGATGGCAGTTTTTCTTTACCTCGATCTTTGCCCCCACATTCATCACCGAGCTGTCAGTCTTGTATTTACCAAGCTGTCATATTTTCACCCTGAGCAAACATGCATTGTGGTTCAATATAAAGTACTTTATCAAAGTGACACATTCACTAAAGGACTGTGAGGTTATATAACCACACTTGAGATCTGTTGCAGAAACATGACCTGTTGTTTTTGGGCAATAACTGAGAAAAAACGTATTGTAACGAGACATGAGAGAGCCCGATACAAATACATTCACAGTATATGTATTTGTACTTTAAGGCACTGTATAGGTATTGCTTAAGGTACTGCAGTTTGGACAGAGGTGGATAAAAGTAGCATTACTACAGTGTACAAATACTCAGTTACAAGTAATCATTATGCAGAAGAATGGCCATTTCAGATTTAACAAATATAACATTATTGTGTTATAAATATAAATGCCTTAACTTCAAATGGTCAAGGTGGGGTATATTTTTTATTAATTATATACTGCATTAGTTTAAGCTAATGCATACAGATTTACTAGTTGATTTAAATTCTGTATTATTAATCTAAATCTGCTAGTTAGCTGTAAAATAAGTGTAGCAGAGTAGAAGTATAAAGTAGAATAAAGTGAAAATACTCAAGTGAAGTACACGTACACGTAGCATGTATAAATTAACATGTAGCAATTAGCACGTAGCATGTAGCAACTGCAGTCAGAACTTCAGTTTGGTGTTAACATAGAATAAAGTGAAAATACTCAGGGGGAGGAAATGTACACGTAGCACTTTGAACGTAGCATGTAGCAATTAGCTTGTAGCACTTAGCACGTAGCATGTAGCTACTGCAGTCAGAACCTGTTTGGTGTTAACATAGAATAAAGTGAAAATAGTCAGGGGGAGGAAAAGTACATGTAGCACTTTGAACGTAGCATGTAGCACTTAGCACGTAGCATGTAGCTACTGCAGTCAGAACCTGTTTGAATAGAATAAAGTGAAAAAACTCAGGGGGAGGAAAAGTACACGTAGCACTTAGCATGCACCATGTAGCAATTAGCTTGTAGCACTTAGCACGTAGCATGTAGCTACTGCAGTCAGAACCTGTTTGGTGTTAACATAGAATAAAGTGAAAATAGTCAGGGGGAGGAAAAGTACATGTAGCACTTTGAACGTAGCATGTAGCAATTAGCTTGTAGCACTTAGCACGTAGCATGTAGCTACTGCAGTCAGAACCTGTTTGAATAGAATAAAGTGAAAAAACTCAGGGGGAGGAAAAGTACACGTAGCACTTAGCATGCACCATGTAGCAATTAGCTTGTAGCACTTAGCACGTAGCATGTAGCAACTGCAGTCAGAACTTCAGTTGGGTGTTAACATAGAATAAAGTGAAAATACTCAGGGGGAGGAAAAGTACACGTAGCACTTTGCACGTAGCACTTAGCATGCAGCAATTATAACGTAGCACTTAGCTTGTAGCACTAAGCATGTAGCAATTAGAACGTAGCACGTAGCACATAGCACTTAGCTTGTAGCACTAAGCATGTAGCAATTAGAACGTAGCACGTAGCACTTAGCACTTGAGTAAATGTACTTTCCTTCAACCAATGCAGTTTGTTTACGTAAAGGCTGCACATTGAAAAGTAAACAGAACTTCTGCTGGTGTTTATTTGGTTTTGTAAACATGACCAAATAAACACCAGCAGAAGAGAACAGATTCCCACCTGTTAGAGAAAACAGTAATGAAGGACTTCTGTTAGCTACAGTACATCAATGAGGACAGTATGTGGGATTGTGTCTGAAAAACCAGATGCATTTGATTCTAGAAAGAAGTCTTTTCACACAATAACTTGAACTGATTTGGAGCTCTGATACAGAGAACAACACACACAATCTGCGCTGATGAATCACAAGAGGATTGCACTTCATGGACAAGAAGTTATAGAATTAAATACTTTTAAATAACTGCTGTTAACATATAATAAAAGCTTACAGACACTTTGCATGTGACTCATATGAAGGGACGTTACTCCGTTTTACAGTAGATGGGATGGCAGTAGGGTGACCAGGTGCCAGAAAGCCACAAGTGGGACAGAGAGTATGTTTGTGTGGGACAATGTGGGACATGTAAATGTAATGTTGACGCATGAACTGTCAACGGGGGGGGGGGGGGGGGGGGGTTGGGTACACTTTGGACCTCTGTCGCCTGTCAGCGCAACTTACATAATGCCGTTTAAAACATATAATAATGGGCGGTGCCGGCCGTCAGCGAACCGAGCCGGCCTTTCTCCGCAGAAAAGCGTTTTGGCCAATCAAAATTAAATATGCGGGACATCGTCTCAATTTGCGGGACGCACCAAAACTCGTGAAAATGCTGTGCAGTCCCGCGCAAAGCGGGACATCTGGTCACCCTAGATGGCAGTAATGAAGTGATCTTAATCTAGATCAACCCAGTCTCACGGCATTTCGTGTTATTAGTCACGAAATTAATGTAATCTATTGATTCGTGTTCACCAACACGATTTTCACCTTTTTTTCGTGTCACACAGAACGATTTTAAATGCAATGTATTTCTATTGGTAGTATGTTTCGTGCCTGCAACACGTCTTTTTGTCCGGTCGGGTCTTGGAAGACCAGAAGCTGTGTGGTTCATAAAAACATGTTCTTACTCAATATCTTACCCTAAGCCTAACCCTATCCCTTTTATTTTAAGTTGTATAATGTCTGAGTTTTCTTGCCGTCAGTGAGGAAAAGAAATGTCTCAGAGCCTCAGAATACTGACATCTGTATTTTATGTCATCTTTTTTTCCTTCTAATTTGTTATTATTTGGTGCAGGCACGAAACATACTACCAATATAAATACATTGCTTCTAAAATCGTTCTGTGTCAGAATACTTAAATCTGTATTTTTAAAAATCTTTTTTTCCTTCTAATTTGTTATTATTTACATTGCTTTTAAAATCGTTCTGTGTGACACGAAAAAAATGGCGAAATCGTGTTGGTGAACACAAATCAATAGATTAATTTCGTGACTATAACACGAAATGCCGTGAGACTGTGTTAACTACATCACTTTGTACAATTGAAGAGTCTCAATTTCACATTCAGATGAGATGTGACCCTAAATAGTCCTGTGTATGTAGCTTTACTGGCTAACTTTGGTGTCAGTTTGCAGAAAAAATTGAGTTATTTGGTTTAATTTCTATGAGGAAGACTTGTTTTAGCATTTAGCATGCTATACGTGTATTAAACAAAGGATTGTCTGCAACAGGTATGTAAAAAATATTTGATATACTTCAGCTCTTTGGTTTTAAGGCACAGAGGCAACAACTACCGTCTCTTTTGTGTTGTTTGAATTCTACAACATGTAAACATAGATATTTGGATATTTGGATATTTTTTGCATTTACTGTCATAATCTCCGTTTGGAGCGGAGAGGTTTTGGACGTCACAATTTCACATTCAGATGAGATGTGACTCTAAATGTGTGCAGTGTTACTTACTAATGTGGGTGTCAGTTTGCAGAAAATAGTTTAATATCCATGAGGAAGACTTGTTTCAGCATTCAGCATGCTAAAGGTGTATTAAATAAAGGATTGTCTGCAATGGTATGTAAAAAAACAAGTGATATACTTCAGCTCTTTGGTTTTAAGGCACAGAGGCAACAACTACCTTATATTTTGTGTTGTTTGAATTCTACAACATGTAAACATAGATATTTGGATATTTGGACGTCTTTTAGCATTTACTGTCATGATCTCCGTTTGCAGCCGAGAGGTTTTGGACGTAGTGGACGGCGTCTTCGATGGTGTAGAAGATCACCGTTTCCTCTCCTCCATCACTCTCTGTTTTGGGGTAGTAGCCCCCTCTCTGCAGTGAGTCCAGCACTGAGGTGTTGCACTGGGCCAGGACCACTTTGACCCCCAGCTCTGCGTAATCTTTGCGGACTTCTTTCAGCGCGTTCACTCCGGCTGTGTCCAGAAAGGAAATGGAGCTGCCGTCGATCACCACGCTGCGTAAGGATTTGTTCTCCATTAACGTCACTCCGGCTTCCTCCTCTTTAAGATAAGATGAGATAAGATGAGATAAGATGAGATAAGATGAGATAAGATGGAAATGTATTAATCCCCGTGAGAAAATTCAGTAGTTTCAACAGCAACAGCGTGAGAATGAAAAACAGGACAGCACAGGTTCACACAGATTAGAGATGAATAAAATCAAAGACACAAATTAAATTATAATCAGTTAAAGGTCCCCTATTATCCTGTTTCTCATCAATATACTACAGGTCTCAGATATATACAGAGCCTGTCTCTGATTGGCTGAAACACCAAACAGATCATTGCAGCATTACCCATAATCCCCTCTGTTTCAGCCCTGTTTCCAAAGTGCTGATTCTCTGTCTGTTACTTTAGATGAAAATAAGGAGCCCCTCCCCACGCCCCTCTGAGAGATATTTGGTTACAAAGAACTCAATGGTGCTCTAGGAGGAGATTCAGGTGATAAGGGGGGGGGGGGGTTACCTTGGTTGCTGATTGGCTAATGGTTACACAAGACAACACATCGTTATGACATCATAAAGTGTCCAAAATCTGATCAGCTCATTTTCAGACAGGTTTTTATAGAAATGGATCAGGACAAAAAGAGAGAGAATCTTTGTTCCTGAAACTTTCAGAGTCTCTTTCCACAGAGGGGACACATGGTGATGAAGAAGAGACATGAAGAAGAGGGGACACATGTTGATGTAGAAGAGACATGAAGAAGAGGGGACACATGTTGATGAAGAAGAGACATGAAGAAGAGGGGACAAATGTTGATGTAGAAGAGACATGAAGAAGAGGGGACACATGTTGATGTAGAAGAGACATGAAGAAGAGGGGACACATGTTGATGTAGAAGAGACATGAAGAAGAGGGGACACATGTTGATGTAGAAGAGACATGAAGAAGAGGGGACACATGGTGATGTAGAAGAGACATGAAGAAGAGGGGACACATGGTGATGTAGAAGAGACATGAAGAAGAGGGGACACATGTTGATGTAGAAGAGACATGAAGAAGAGGGGACACATGTTGATGTAGAAGAGACATGAAGAAGAGGGGACACATGTTGATGTAGAAGAGACATGAAGAAGAGGGGACACATGTTGATGTAGAAGAGACATGAAGAAGAGGGGACACATGTTGATGTAGAAGAGACATGAAGACGAGGGGACACATGTTGATGAAGAAGAGACATGAAGAAGAGGGGACACATGGTGATGTAGAAGAGACATGAAGAAGAGGGGACACATGGTGATGTAGAAGAGACATGAAGAAGAGGGGACACATGTTGATGTAGAAGAGACATGAAGAAGAGGGGACACATGGTGATGTAGAAGAGACATGAAGAAGAGGGGACACATGTTGATGTAGAAGAGACATGAAGAAGAGGGGACACATGTTGATGAAGAAGAGACATGAAGAAGAGGGGACACATGTTGATGAAGAAGAGACATGAAGAAGAGGGGACACATGTTGATGAAGAAGAGACATGAAGAAGAGGGGACACATGGTGATGTAGAAGAGACATGAAGAAGAGGGGACACATGTTGATGTAGAAGAGACATGAAGAAGAGGGGACACATGTTGATGAAGAAGAGACATGAAGAAGAGGGGACACATGTTGATGTAGAAGAGACATGAAGAAGAGGGGACACATGTTGATGTAGAAGAGACATGAAGAAGAGGGGACACATGTTGATGTAGAAGAGACGTGAAGAAGAGGGGACACATGTTGATGAAGAAGAGACATGAAGAAGAGGGGACACATGTTGATGAAGAGGAGACATGAAGAAGAGGGGACACATGTTGATGAAGAAGAGACATGAAGAAGAGGGGACACATGTTGATGTAGAAGAGACATGAAGAAGAGGGGACACATGTTGATGTAGAAGAGACATGAAGAAGAGGGGACACATGTTGATGTAGAAGAGACATGAAGAAGAGGGGACACATGTTGATGAAGAAGAGACATGAAGAAGAGGGGACACATGTTGATTAAAATGAACATATATACATATTTGGATCATATATACATGTAAGATATTAAATATATTTGTTATTATGTATTAGATGTATTTTTTATTTCGATATTAGATATATTTACCGTGCGTTGGCTTCACATCCGGGACGTCCTGCTGCTTCTCCTTCTTATTCTTGAACTTCATCACCCTGGATTTCTCTTTCAGAGGATCCAGCCCTGCACTTTTGTACAAAGATTTCTTAAACAAGCTCTGGTTAGCGTAGTATATCGGGGCGTCGTATCTAAACACAGCGACTCCGGGGTGAGTTTGAAGGCCGCGGTACGACGAAACATCCTCGTAATATTCCCGGTTCGATGCCCGGCCGAGTTTCAGGACTTTTGCCTGTTGAGTTCTGGCCAAAACACACAGAGCCGACACCAGAACGCCCACCAGGAGACCCAGCTCGGTGTTCACCAGAGCAGACGTGGCCATGGTGATCAGCCAGATGGAGGTGTCCACGCGGTTAACTCTCCACATGCTGGGGATGTCCAGGAACTTCCTTAAAGCACCGCGAAGATTCACCAGGATGATGACGGCTAACACACATCTGAGAGGGAGGAGGAGGCAAGGAGACACACAGGAAGGTTAGAGAATCACTGAATCATGAAGGGACAAGATCTCAATAGCCGCTTTCACACCAAGTACTTTGCCGTACTTAGTGCCAAGCACTTTGTACCCCCATGGAACTAAGTACAGATCGCGTTCACACCGGAATAAGTTCCCTGAGGGAAGATTAGGCAAATGAAGCCGCTGACGTCACTTCTTCTTCTTCTGCTTTGGGTTTACTGGCAGGCCGCAAACCACTTCACGGCGTATACTGCCACCCGAAGTCCCCGGGCCGGAAGTCCCCGGAGTTGGGGACTGGCTTCAGTAGAAGCTGCTGGGACTCCCAGCAGCTTCTACTGAAGCCTTCAGAGTAAATCGTCAGAACGCCGACACCTCCTCATCTCCACCGCTCCCATGTTTTATTTTGTGTTGCCATAAGTTATTCTCTCTCCGTTGGTGCGCGGGGCTAATGCTAATGCTAATAATGCTAATGCCAGCAAATACAATGGCGGCTTCACAAAACTTTTCAGAGTTTTACGGGGCGTGGTTTGCAATTCGCCCAGCCAATAGAAATTGGTACTTTTTTCTCCCCAGGATAGTCCCACCTCTCTAGCAGGGACTGAAAATGGGGGTAAACGTTCCCGGCACTAAGTTCTCTTTTTGGTGTGAACGCAAAATTCCAGGCACTATCGGAACTAAACGGGAAAAGTACTCCAGTGTGAACGCGCCTAAGTCAAAACATCTTATTTTGAGTTATATCTCAGATGAAACTTTGTTTTTTTCACATATTTATTAGAAAATCACCAACTAGCCTCAGAAAACATTTTAGAGATGTGGGTACGGAGGAAAAGAGAGAGGGTTTTATTTCCTGACACACCGGGGACACATAGTGATGTAGAAAAGACATTAAAACATGCATTTAGCATGATAGGGGTCATTTAACGTTTCCAATAAGGAACCTTGACCCGTTGACTTCTGTTAGCTTTAAGGTTTTGCATTTTGCAATAACTAGTGTTGACAGTTCTGCTGTTTAAGTGGCCGTGTCAGACCTGACCTTTACCTCACCGACCTCTATTAAGCTTACCATTGATAAAAAGATGCTAAATTGGCTGTAAATAGAAAGGCTGTATGTTTCCATCATGTCTTTTCAGACGTGTGAGACCAGGCGTGTGAAAGATAGAACATTCTGAACTTTTGACCTATGCGCACTATGCATTTTAGATGGGGCAATAAAAGCGTAAAAGTTCGAGCCACAATTCTGAAAAGGCGCTTGTGGTTTTTGACACCTTGAGAGCGGTTACAGCGGGTACGAAGACAATGAGGCACAGGATGCAGGCGGCCTACATAAAAGACTTGAACCAACTTCCTGGGCCAGCGAACCATAGAGATGAGCTGTCCTTATTGTCTCTGTTAATAAATGAAGTCTCTGTTAATAAATGAAGTCTCTGTTAATAAATGAAGTCTCTGTTAATAAATTAATGTATAAAGTTTGCCCTAATTACCTATTTCTTTATGGTTGAATGCACTTATCGTAAGTCACTAATAAAAGCGTCAGCAAAACGAAATGTAATGTACTCTGAATAACACCAAAGCTTCCCATGATGTAATTGTCCTGATATCCAAGTCTTTTATCATGTTTAACAGTTCATGTTTTAACCAGAAATGTGGGCTTTTTTTTTAGGGAATGCGTCTCTACCCTGGCATTTTAAACTTTAGGCGACTTGGTTAGTGTCCAACTATGAAGGGAATGTTTTAGATCCTGGAGTAGCAGGCGAAACGAGCGAAAAGCTACACAAATAAAACGAGGGGTAAAGAGATGGATAAGCAGAGATGTTAAAGTACACACATCCTTTACTCAAGTAGAAGTACAGATACTCGTGTTTAAAAATACTCTGGTGAAAGTAGAAGTACTGACTAAACTTCTTTACTCAAGTCAAAGTAAAGAGGGCTTTGAAATGTACTTCAGTAAAAAGTACCCATAACTAGCAGCTGTTTTAAAGAGTACCTGACCTCCCTTTATATTAATAGAACAATAATGTCATTGTTAGCTAATGAATGTTTCCATGCTGAACAACGGCAACATGACAACGTTTTCATTGGTCCCTCTTCTTTAGAGAAGACCAGGAAATGATGGATACACGGATCGTGTTCAAATCAATAGGCACGCAATGACTCTAAATAATAATGATCACGCCACCAAACACACATTCAAACTAAAGGAACCAGCCTGTTTGGGAAATGTGAGAAGTAGAAAGTACAGGTATTTGTGTTCAACATGTAAGAAGTAGAAAGTACAGGTATTTGAGTTCAACATGTAAGAAGTAGAAAGTTCAGGTATTTGTGTTCAACATGTAAGAAGTAGAAAGTTCAGGTATTTGTGTTCAACATGTAAGAAGTAGAAAGTACAGGTATTTGTGTTCAACATGTGAGAAGTAGAAAGTACAGGTATTTGGGTTCAACATGTAAGAAGTAGAAAGTACAGGTATTTGGGTTCAACATGTAAGAAGTAGAAAGTACAGGTATTTGGGTTCAACATGTAAGAAGTAGAAAGTACAGGTATTTGTGTTCAACATGTAAGAAGTAGAAAGTACAGGTATTTGTGTTCAACATGTAAGAAGTAGAAAGTACAGGTATTTGTGTTCAACATGTAAGAAGTAGAAAGTACAGGTATTTGGGTTCAACATGTAAGAAGTAGAAAGTACAGGTATTTGTGTTCAACATGTAAGAAGTAGAAAGTACAGGTATTTGAGTTCAACATGTAAGAAGTAGAAAGTACAGGTATTTGTGTTCAACATGTAAGAAGTAGAAAGTACAGGTATTTGAGTTCAACATGTAAGAAGTAGAAAGTACAGGTATTTGGGTTCAACATGTAAGAAGTAGAAAGTACAGGTATTTGGGTTCAACATGTAAGAAGTAGAAAGTACAGGTATTTGTGTTCAAAGTGTAAGAAGTAGAAAGTACAGGTATTTGTGTTCAACATGTAAGAAGTAGAAAGTACAGGTATTTGGGTTCAAAATGTAAGAAGTGGCGTGTGGCGCAGTGGAATTGTGCGTTGGTGTTGGGATCAAGGGAGCACAGGTTCAAACCCCACTGCAGTTAGCATGTCGTTGTGTCCCTGAGACACTTCACCCCAAATTGCTCCAGTGGGGATTGCCCACAGTATTGAGTATGGAAGTCGCTTTGGATAAAAGCATCTAACAAGTAACATGTAATGTATTGTAAAAAAGTCAAAGTAAAAAGTTGTCAGAAAAATAAGTAGTGGAGTAAAGTATTGATACCAGAAAAATGTACTTAAGTACAGTAACAAAGTATTAGTACTCCAATACTTCCCACCTCTGTGAATAATAAACAATGATAAAACATAGCCGTGATTAAGGCTCAAAGCAGTCTCAGAGCAACACGGTGAAAGTGTTGTTAAAGCTTCTATAATGTCAGCATTAACCCTGAACCACAGGTTATCTGAATGTATCCAAGCCTACCCTTTAAACTGTTTTATGGTAAAGCAGATAAGAACAAAGCAAATGAAAGTTCCACTGCTCCCATTATCTAGAAAAACAACAACCTTGAACCAACTGCAACAAGGAAGTAGAAAGATATATGGACCTGTGGATAGAAATCTAACGTGCACGGCTCTCAGATGGTGATTTATGCTCTATAACCATGGTTCTCTTCAAACAGCATTTAACAGATTACAGATAAGTACTGTGTCTGGTGGAAAGATCTTACTATGGCTTGGAAAAACAGCCTGACTGTTAAAGGGCTAAATTGGACAAGCAGACACACCTGAACTGCTCAACCTTTGATAAACGTATTTCATAGGTTCAATAATATGCAATGGTAGTGTTAGTAATGTAAAAAGCCCCATCAAGAAGCACATGTTAATGTCAATAATATCCTGCTTTAAATGGTGTTAAAAGAAACCTATTTATCGTCCTGAGCATCTGTATATTTTTCTTACTCTCTAATGCTAGTTTATTTATATTTATATTTCTAGATGTTTTTATTTTAGAATTGTTTATTTCTACTCTTTTCATTTGTTATTATGTGCAATGCCTTGTTTTGTTTTATGCTGCTGCAACAAAAACATGTTTTTCCCAATTTGGGATCAATAAAGTACGTCTTATCTTATCTTATTTTATAACCCTGCTGGTTGTCTTTCCATTATTCATACAATTCATCACAATTATTACATGGCTTAGTTGAATACTCGATTCTGATTGGTCAATTCAGAACACGTGACACGTTGTTAATCCAGAACTTATTGACCGTTGTTAAGGACTTATTGACCGTTGTTAAGGACGCTCACATCTGCAGAAAGAAGTCCGGTCGATTTAACTGTATACAGTTTGGGCGAAAAGCAAACTGTATGCAGTTTGCTTTTCTAACTGACAAGACAAGAGCGACAAGAAAACAGCGGAGAAGTAACGGGGCAGAAACCCTCCTTTTTACGCAGCGGTCCAGACATAGACATCAAACGGCGACACATATTCAGTGTGCAGTTCTTTTGGCATTAGGGCAGGGATATCTAGATACTTTCCAAGGTTTGACATAATGAATTGTGCTACTTTTAAAGCAAGCAGCGATGTTTTCAAATCTGTAATCAAAAAGCTCCTCAAAAACGCTATCGAAGCAGTTCCTGCCGTTGCTACGTTAGTTCAAACGGTAACAACGGACTATTTTTCTTAGCGGATGCTTGTCATTTTAAATAAATAATAGCGTACTATTTTTTAAATCAATAAAAACATTCTCTAAATCTATAAAAGTATTTCAATTAATATTGGGAGTCATATCGTTACTTTGTTGAGAATGTGGCCGTGTAATAAGCGGATAATGTGCAGTGTCATTATGGGGAAAATAACACTCGACAGGCTGATCAGGAGCCCGACGCGAAGCGGAGTGATCTGGATCTGCATGAAGGGTGTTCTTTTCCCCATAATGACCATTCTGATTTGTCAATTTGGACAGTCCAGAGGTGGTTATTCTACGCTATAACAGACCGTTGCTAAGTAGAACAGACCGTTGCTAAGGAGGATCAAGGGACTATGTGCAGTCATATCAATCCGCGGAAAGAAGTCCGGTCAATTTAAAGTCAGCGGTGGACAACAGACATTAGTTTTCAGCCATCAGAAAACAACGTGGAATACTTTTAGAATATTATTTTTATATTTGACACAAACACAAACGGGAACCGCAGAAGAAGACGGACAGGAAGTAAACACTAACAGAAACACAGTATGGGCTCTTGCAGTGTTTAAAGACTGGTTCATGGAAAATAAAATGTAAACTCTCTCTCTTTTTGTCCTGATCCATTTCTATAAAAACCTGTCTGAAAATGAGCTGATCAGATTTTGGCCACTTTATGATGTCATAACGATGTGTTGTCTTGTGTAACCATCAGCCAATCAGCAACCAAGGTAACCCCCCCCCCCCCCCCCCCACCTTATCACCTGAATCTCCTCCTAGAGCACCATTGAGTTCTTTGTAACCAAATCTCTCTCAGAGGGGCGTGGGGAGGGGCTCCTTATTTTCATCTAAAGTAACAGACAGAGAATCAGCACTTTGGAAACAGGGCTGAAACAGAGGGGATTATGGGATGCTGCAATGATCTGTTTGGTGTTCCAGCCAATCAGAGACAGGCTCTGGATATATCTGAGACCTGTGATATATTGATGAGAAACAGTATAATAGGGGACCTTTAACTGATCATATGCTTACTTCTGCAGGGAGTAGAAGAGCGGTGCGATGACCAGCAGCACCAGCAGGAGGACGAGAGCACTGATGATCCCTGAGATCTGCGTCTGGCATCCGGTCGACTCCTTCACCAGCGTCTTCGTCAGCGCTGCGCTGGTGGTGAAACAGCGGAAGAACGACGGCAGGATGTTGCAGAAACCAATGGCGTACATCTCCTGGTTGGCGTCCACCGTGTAGCCGTGCTTCTTGGCGAACATCTCGGACAGAGAGACGGTGATGGCGAATCCAACGATGGCGATGGAGAAAGCATCGACGGCGACATTTGGGATCAGAGACCAAAGAGGCATCTGAGGAGGGAGGAAACCAGTGGGGATCGTACCAGCAACACCAGAACCTGTCAGGGATCAGATGGTACACTCACAACATTAGAGAATGAGACAAAGAGGAATCAATAAAACACAGAGACGGTTAAAGTTAGTGTGAAGTATTGGAGTACAAATACTTCGTTACTGCACTTCAGTACATTTTTCTGGTATCAGTACTTTACTCCACTACTTATTTTTCTGACGACTTTTTACTTTGACTTCTTACATTTCGAAAACAAATACCTGTACTTTCTACTTCTTACATATTGAACCCAAATACCTGTACTGTCTACTTCTTACATGTTGAACCCAAATACCTGTACTTTCTACTTCTTACATGTTGAACACAAATACCTGTACTTTCTACTTCTTACATGTTGAACTCAAATACCTGTACTTTCTACTTCTCACATGTTGAACACAAATACCTGTACTTTCTACTTCTTACATGTTGAACTCAAATACCTGTACTTTCTACTTCTTACATTTTGAACCCAAATACCTGTACTTTCTACTTCTAACATGTTGAACACAAATACCTGTACTTTCTACTTCTTACATTTTGAACCCAAATACCTGTACTTTCTACTTCTTACATGTTGAACACAAATACCTGTACTTTCTACTTCTTACATTTTGAACACAAATACCTGTACTTTCTACTTCTTACATGTTGAACACAAATACCTGTACTTTCTACTTCTTACATGTTGAACACAAATACCTGTACTTTCTACTTCTTACATGTTGAAAACAAATACCTGTACTTTCTACTTCTTACATGTTGAACTCAAATACCTGTACTTTCTACTTCTCACATGTTGAACACAAATACCTGTACTTTCTACTTCTTACATTTCGAAAACAAATACCTGTACTTTCTACTTCTTACATATTGAACCCAAATACCTGTACTTTCTACTTCTTACATGTTGAACACAAATACCTGTACTTTCTACTTCTTACATGTTGAACTCAAATACCTGTACTTTCTACTTCTCACATGTTGAACACAAATACCTGTACTTTCTACTTCTTACATTTTGAACACAAATACCTGTACTTTCTACTTCTTACATGTTGAACTCAAATACCTGTACTTTCTACTTCTTACATTTTGAACCCAAATACCTGTACTTTCTACTTCTTACACTTTGAACCCAAATACCTGTACTTTCTACTTCTTACATGTTGAACACGAATACCTGTACTTTCTACTTCTTACATGTTGAACACAAATACCTGTACTTTCTACTTCTTACATGTTGAACACAAATACCTGTACTTTCTACTTCTTACATGTTGAACACAAATACCTGTACTTTCTACTTCTTACATGTTGAACACAAATACCTGTACTTTCTACTTCTTACATGTTGAACTCAAATACCTGTACTTTCTACTTCTTACATTTTGAACACAAATACCTGTACTTTCTACTTCTTACATTTTGAACACAAATACCTGTACTTTCTACTTCTTACTCTTTGAACACAAGTACCTGTACTTTCTACTTCTTACATTTTGAACACAAATACCTGTACTTTCTACTTCTTACATGTTGAACTCAAATACCTGTACTTTCTACTTCTTACATTTTGAACACAAATACCTGTACTTTCTACTTCTTACATTTTGAACACAAGTACCTGTACTTTCTACTTCTTACACTTTGAACACAAATACCTGTACTTTCTACTTCTTACATGTTGAACACAAATACCTGTACTTTCTACTTCTTACATGTTGAACACAAATACCTGTACTTTCTACTTCTCACATGTTGAACACAAATACCTGTACTTTCTACTTCTTACATTTTGAACACAAATACCTGTACTTTCTACTTCTTACATTTTGAACACAAATACCTGTACTTTCTACTTCTTACATGTTGAACACAAATACCTGTACTTTCTACTTCTCACATGTTGAACACAAATACCTGTACTTTCTACTTCTTACATGTTGAACACAAATACCTGTACTTTCTACTTCTTACATGTTGAACACAAATACCTGTACTTTCTACTTCTCACATGTTGAACCCAAATACCTGTACTTTCTACTTCTTCCATGTTGAACACAAATACTTGTACTTTCTACTTCTTACATGTTGAACCCAAATACCTGTACTTTCTACTTCTCACATTTTCCAAACAGGCTGGTTCCTTTAGTTTGAATGTGTGTTTGGTGGCGTGATCATTATTATTTAGAGTCATTGCGTGCCTATTGATCTGAACACGATCCGTGTATCCATCATTTCCTGGTCTTCTCTAAAGAAGAGGGACCAATGAAAACGTTGTCATGTTGCCGTTGTTCAGCATGGAAACATTCATTAGCTAACAATGACATTATTGTTCTATTAATATAAAGGGAGGTCAGGTACTCTTTAAAACAGCTGCTAGCTATGGGTACTTTTTACTGAAGTACATTTCAAAGCCCTCTTTACTTTGACTTGAGTAAAGAAGTTTAGTCAGTACTTCTACTTTCACCAGAGTATTTTTAAACACGAGTATCTGTACTTCTACTTGAGTGAAGGATGTGTGATCGTAGAAATAGATGGGCCTTTTTCCAGAAACTAAATAGCATGGCTTAAAACACATGATAATATAAAACAGATTCTACAAACCGTAGTCGGTGTTGAAGTTTCCAAAATGAGAAGCCAGCGTCGCTATCACCACCACGAAGAGCTCGAAGGGGATGGGAGCCTGGGTGAGGAGAAAGAAAAGGAGAATAAGATAAGATAAGATGGACCTTTATTAATCCCTGTGGGGAAATTCAGTAGTTTAAACAGCAACTGGGTAAAATTGAAAAACAGGACAGCACAGATTCACATAGATTAATACAATCAAAGATAACCATTTTAAATGAGAAAATAACTATAAAATAAGAAAGGAATTGAAATGGACATATACATTCAGTTGAGATCATATAAGCTTTCCAGTAGGTAGTAACTTATTGTATTTAAAGGTCTCCTATCATGCTATTTTTAGGCATATATTATGGGTCTCAGACATATACAAATATATAAAAAACATGTCTCTGAAACAGTATGGAGATCAAACTCTTTCTCTCTCTCAGGTTTACCACAAGGTGAGTTCCTTTTGATTTCCTGCTTCTTCACACAGACTCTCTCCAGTACAGGTTAGCTCTGAGTGTTAGCCATGCTAATGTAAACACAGACCATATTACTTCCAGAACACGTCTCATAGTTTCTGACAGCAACGTTTCTGATTGGCCCGTGGGTGTAAAGCCCGCCCACATTTTAGAAATGTCGTCATGACGCAGCCAATCTGGATCAGCTCCGTTTTTAGAGATGTGGGTACGGAGGAAAAGAGAGAGGGGTTTATTTCCTGACACTTTTGGCGCATTTCCACTACACGGCCCCGCTCGGTATGGCTAGGCCTCGTTAGGACTGGCTCACTTTATGGCGCATTTCCATTACAGTTTAGGAACTGGGGTAGTATCTATAGTAACGCAGTGTAGGCGGAGCCGTGACGTCATCTTCAATGAGAACCCCAGAAAAACAACACAGCCGTTAGCTGTTAGCACTCAGAGCTCACAGCTCCTCATATCTGTTCAGAAACTAGACAAAAGTTAAACAAGTACAAACCACAGACTGCCTGTGTCATGGTGAATACAGTCGCTGCTTTATTTATGTCTGTATAGGCCGTTGTTGTGAGTGTGGACGGTCGGAGCATATATTGCGTTAGCTTAGCCGATCTCCATTTAGAAAACACGCATTTTAAAAGGTTTTTCGCCTGCCGTCTGTCTGCAGACTTGTCAAAGCATTAATTCCTGGTTTTTACTAACCGGTATCAGTATGTTGTTACTTCGGCATCATTTTGAAACGTGTATTACAATTAAATCACGGTCAAATATGTCCATCTTGTTGTAGTTGTAGCCCCCTTGCCAGCGATGCTCTCTCTAGTTTAGCATACTCAGCCCGACTCAGCCTCGTTGTCTCTGGCCCTAGACCCACGATTTTATGAGGCCAGAAAAACTGTGAATTAGGACCCGCCGGCCGGTACTAGGCCAAGTGGAAACGCAACCAAAGACGGGCCGCTGACGTCACAGCCCTCTTAAACCGTGCTCCGCGCTGTAGTGGAAACGCGCCATTTGTGAGTCTCCTGACACACCGGGGACACACCGGGGACACACCGGGGACACACCGGGGACACACCGGGGACACACCGGGGACACACCGGGGACACATGGTGATGTAGAGAAGACATCAGAAAGTGCATTTTGCATAATAGGAGACCTTTAAGGCAGTAAAATAATTTGTTTATTTGCTTCTTGACAAAGGTTAAGGGTGAAATGTTTGACAAGAAATGCTTTTATTTTGAAGAGCAAGTATGTGTCCTGCTCCTTCTCTTTCCTGTTATGTTTTGAAATGAATACGAGTATGTCGAGTGCATTTTCCCCGTCTTCTAGCGTTCTTGTTGGAAACTGTTTAATTAATATAAAGTAAATACGTTCAGTTTGGACGAGACTCGCTTTGTTCTTCATTCGGAGCTTCTATGACACATCAGGAAGAGGGGTGAAGATGATGGGAGGCTGGAACAAACCATTCCCTCCAGCACTTTGCTCCGTAACGGCCAATGGGACAGAGTTGGACCCAGATACCCTGAACAAGACAAGCCTGTTGCTCTCCTGGCTCCAGAAAGTTAGAACAAGCTCCCCATTGATATCAGGCGACTGCAGACTGAATGCCTACCTGTTTAGCTTCTGCTGTGGAAACCCCCCAACAATGCATCAGTTTGGCTTATTTGAAGCGAATATACCTGCAAGCTGTTTGTGTCTTTGTGGTTTATTTCACTCATTTTCACTAGTCGCTATGGATTAAAGCATCAGCTAAATGAATGTAAATTAAAAACGTTAATTAAAGGTGGGGTAGGTACGTTTGAGAAACCGGCTCGAGATACACTTGTTGTTATATTCCATGGAATGCTCTTAACATCCCGATAGCAATGAATATCTGAAGTGCTTTGACAAAAAATCCATAAAAGAATATCATCTGTGGAAGCTGTAGTACTGTAAAAAGCACGACCAATCATCTGAGCCGGCCCGGCTAAAATAACTGGATGGCCTACCTGCCTGTCAGCCTTCCATCTGTGCACAAACTTATCTCGTGCCCTCATTGGTCATGTGCGCGTTCGTGTGTGTTGGAGGAGGGGCTCTGTGAGGAAGTGGCAGATTTTCTCCGGTTGTGTATTTTCAAATTCTAGCGATCTCGAGCCGGTTTCTCAAACTTACCTACCCTACCTTTAATTGTCCTTTCTAGGCCATCTTGTGCTCAGACTTGTTCTTCTCAGTTGAATGTTATTCCTGGTTTAGCTCAGTTTTGCTTTGACAATTATACCAAAACTATTAGCATGCCAAAATAAGATTAAGCCCAAAATATAGCTGAGACTGAGATGTTTTTGGAGTCCGATCGCAGTCATTGGCAGGTTCTTACACCTTCTTTAACCAAAGTAAACAACTACCTAACCCAGACTACTCTTATCTTAATCTAAACATAGAGAGAGAGTTTCAAATATGTTAATAAGATATTTTAATCTGAATTAGATGCACTTTAAATGTAAAGGACTGTTTAGGCAAGAAGGCGGACCCAAGAGCAGTACAAAATATGAAATCAAGTAGTCTTAACCAATAGCAAGCTTCAATTGAGCAAAAAGCTGACTATAATCTTGGTCAACAAGGACTAACCCGGTCTGTTTACCTTCAGCTTGGCTTTGAAGCGGTCGTTGAGCTCCTTGGTCGGTAACAGGATCATCAAACACACCAGACTGGTCACCAGGTCGCAGGCGTTGGTGTTCTGCAGGTTGGAGAGCACGCTGTACCACGTTTTGAAGAGAGTGAACCAGCCCTGAGGACGAGGGATCTTCAGACCCAGAAGGTATTTGAACTGGGAGGTGAGGATGGTCAGAGACGCTCCGGTAGCAAAGCCACTGAGCAGAGAGTCTGAGAGGTAGACGGAGACGAAGCCCACCTGGAAAATACCCATCAGCACCTGGGAGAAGAGAGCAGGAATAAGAGGGAGGGGTCAAGATTTAAGACTTTTATTGTCATTTATATATAGCTACAGTGTAGTTAGTTAGACTTTAGGGTAATTTCACTCTGTAACGAAACCTTCCTAAGCAAAATTGGCCATTCGTCCAAAACCTAGATCTGTTTTTCCCTGAGTCACCAGATTGTCAGTTCTTGAAAATATTAGGGCTGTACCCGAATATCCGAATATTCGGTCGTTGGCCTGCTATTCGGTTTTCAATTTCGTTATTCGGATATTCGTTTTTTTTCTTTTTGTCCTAAATGTATGCTATCAATAAAGGCGCATTGCCACATTCTTATACTGTATTTATACTTTTTAATTGCACTGTTAAAATGCGGAAATATATACATTCTCAGCTTGGGCGCCTGACATCGCTATCACTCACAGCGCCACGAACGTCACGCTTCACTTCGCTTCACACACCTGAAAACAAAATGCTGAAGACTTCAGCTGTGTGGGACCATTTTAAATCTGACGACGATAAGACGAAGGCATTGTGCCAAATATGCAATATGAAACTGGCCTACCACGGTGGCACAACAACTATGAAAAGTCACCTGAATGCTGTAAGTAGTAGCTTAGCTTAGCTGTTGTCCAGTTGCCATGATGAAGCTGATAGAAACGTGCACGCGCGCCGAATATTCGCTGCTGGCCATTTTTTATTGGCCCTCAACTAATTCAAAAAGTATATTGAAATATGGCCCAGAAATTAGCCTTGTGCTTGTTTTATATTGTACTTCTTAAATATACATGTACAAATATATTGCACAGTATTCATGTTTTCATAAAAAAAAAAAAAAAAATGTCTAACAAATCTAAGTTGATGAGAAAAAGCCCAATAACTTATTTACATAACAAGCTTCCTATTTCCTCTTATTATAAGCAATCTAAGGCTTCCATTTTAAGGAATGAACTGCCAACATAATAAATTAAACCGTATGGAGAGCTGTGATTTAAGTGTCAAGCATACTTTACCTACATTTCATTGATGTTGCCAACTTATAACTGAACTTATGAGGCGATAAACCTCTCGTGAGCGGCCCAGCCCTTCATATATTTTTCTGTATGTGGCCCTCGGAGAAAAAAGTTTGGACCCCCCTTTGTGTTTACTCGAGTGACTCAAACTACTACTCAAGGGCGAGGCTTATCTCCATTTGCTTTAGATACCAACATTTCATCAGCCACGGCCAAAATAAACACCACTGCTGCTTTGAGCACGCTGTGAACAGTCGGGGTAAAATCAAACGCCATTGTGTCTGGGTTCATAACACAGGATTTCACAAGCTCTATTTATTGTCTTTAGAAAGTCGGCTGATGCAATCTTGTTTCGTACAGTAGTACGAACCCACAATTTAACATTTAGATTTTTGTTGGCAAAAACAGTATTAAAAGAATGCCGAAATACCTACATAATGATACCTAATGATGCCTCATGATGCTTTGTCTGGTCTTTAGTTTGAATGTGTGTCTGGTGGCGTGATCATTATTATTTAGAGTCATTGCGTGCCTATTGATTTGAACACGATCCGTGTATCCATCATTTCCTGGTCTTCTCTAAAGAAGAGGGACCAATGAAAACGTTGTCATGTTGCCGTTGTTCAGCATGGAAACATTCATTAGCTAACAATGACATTATTGTTCTATTAATATAAAGGGAGGTCAGGTACTCTTTAAAACAGCTGCTAGTTATGGGTACTTTTTACTGAAGTACATTTCAAAGCCCATACTTCTTTACTTTTACTTGAGTAAAGAAGTTTAGCCAGTACTTCTACTTTTACCAGAGTATTTTTAAACGAGTATCTGTACTTCTACTTGAGTAAAGGATGTGTGTACTTGTGCCTCTCTGGAAGCAGCGTTACCTGATAAACTCCAGCTGTGAAAGTAACTGTTGCTCCGACGGTGATAGCATAGCAGCTTCTGTCACAATCCATCCCAAAGCTGCTATTTCCCAGCAGGATGGAGCTATCGTTGCTACTTAAGATGCTGTTTTCTGGGAGGTATCCAGCCAACGCTAACTCCCTATCAACGACTTGACCCACGAGCAAACACAGGACCCCGAAGATCCCCACCGAAATGTGTCTGGAAGTGCCTAAAAGTGCGTAGATGATGGAGGCGAAAAAGGACGTATAGAGACCATATATGGGGTCCTGACTGGCCAATAGGGAGTAAGCTATGGACTGAGGGACCAATAGGATTCCTACAATAAGTCCAGACATGAGATCGCCCAGAATCCATTCTTTCAGCTGGTAGCGAGGCAGCCATTTTACAATCGGGACGAAACCAAGTATTTTGGATTTAGCTTTCTTTGGAGTGCACGAGCAGTTCTTTTTGAGCCGGTTTGACACGGCGGTTTGCCAGCTTTTGGGTTCTTCCTGGACTCTCTGGAGAATGAGAGGATGCTGCTGATCGCTCTCAGCTCCATCTTCTGCTGTCGGACAGAAGTCATCAGCATCTGTCATGATCAAGCCCTTATCTGTGGGATTTAAAGGAGAGAGAAGTTCCGTTTAGCATTTTGTAGAAAGATAGCAGCTCAAGGGTTTCCTCCACAAAAAGCAATGGGATTTCCCAATAAGATTACTCTTTACTGCAGAAAATAAGCACATGTTTATGATGATAATCACCACATTAACACCACTTTATGATTTCTGAAGTAAGAAGCTAATGTTGGGCTATAAAGGAACTACAGCACGGTCACATGACTTCACGTCACCACCGCTAAGCTAAAGGTGGCTAATGTTGGGCTATAAAGGAACTACAGCACGGTCACATGACTTCACGTCACCACTGCTAAGCTAAAGGAGGCTAATGTTGGGCTATAAAGGAACTACAGCACGGTCACATGACTTCACGTCACCACCGCTAAGCTAAAGGTGGCTAATGTTGGGCTATAAAGGAACTACAGCACGGTCACATGACTTCACGTCACCACCGCTAAGCTAAAGGTGGCTAATGTTGGGCTATAAAGGAACTACAGCACGGTCACATGACTTCACGTCACCACCGCTAAGCTAAAGGAGGCTAATGTTGGCCGTGATGACGTTTAGTCGTCTCATTTAGACACTTGTTAGCAACCGCAGTTTTTTAATTCGCCAGTGGGGTATTTACTGACATATCTTATGTCGTAGAACAAAACGTTCAAATATCTCTCTTCATTTCAGGCTTTTTAACCACAAACACACTAAAAATACCATTGACTTCCAGACAAGGGAACTGGAAGTGCTAAAAATGCTGGGTCTTTTCTGGGTTTTAGGACTCAATATGGTAAATCTAATTTTCTGAGCTGATATTTGCAGGACTTTAACAGCAAATAGATCTATACATCTCTTAACATGTGCAATAAAACCACGTATGACAATTCACATTCAGAGTGAGGTGGAAGGTGAGCAGGAGCAGATATCAGATGTCGGGTCATTGGGTGTCGGCATATTTCTGACATTTAGCTGAGGCAGAGAAATTCTCCTTCCTCTTGAAGTTGCATCACAATAGAGATATGACACTTTCCCTCATTCATACACTCCAGTTTACCCATTAATGTGACCCCTTAGACTGAATAATAACTGATAATCACCAGCACTGATATCTTCCAAACCAAGGGCAACGTTAACAACCCAGGAAATATGATAGGTGACTATCTCTGCACAGTCTTTACAAACAGAGGTCAAAAGGCTTGAGATACTTGTGACTATTGTGAATTTACCATTTAATGTTCTCATATGTTAAAAAGGGAATGTATGTAGTTAGCTTTGTTTTCAGCAGGTAAACAATTCGTTTTAGGACTAGTTTCCTGCTGTTTAAACAACATTAAAAGGACAATATTAACATGTAAGTGTTGGAGGAAGTATTCAGGTCCTTTACTCTGAAGTACTCTTACCATGTGGTCAAAATAAGTAAAAATACTGCATTGAAAACTAAATGTAATCTAGTGAGTAAAAATATAAAAATGTACCTAAATAATTAAATGTAAAAGTACATAAAACAGAAAAGTTTAAAATAAAAAACAAAATAAATAATGTATATTAAAAAATATTAAAATATATATTGATATAGTACAAAATAAAAAAAACACCCAAAAATATGTTCTAAATCAGGGGTGTCAAACTCAAGGCCAGCGACTTCATTTTATCTGGCCCCGCAAGAGCTTGCAAAGAATATAATACGTTTATTATACGGTTACATGCTACTTTACAGAATATCTATATATGTTCATTTTAATTTGTTTCTTATTTTATAGTTATTTCTTTTTTTATCTTTGATTTATCCTTAATTTTATTTATCTGTGTGAATCTGTGCTGTTTTTCACTCTCACCCTGTTGCTGTTAAACTACTGAATTTCCCCACGGGGATTAATAAAGGTCCATCTTATCTTATTTTACAGAAGCACGTTGTACATAAACTACATGTCCCACAATGCATCTCATTTTGTGACATGGCACTGAAGAGACTTGTAATTATTTGCCCTAGACTTCTGCTTTCAGACGTAGTTAATTATGAAGTTATTACCCTATCCAATAATAATCCAATGCAGAGGCAATAATATAATACATTATTTCATATATATTATGTATTTATATACGTGTATTTATATAGTTACAACCGGCCCTTTGAGCGCAACCATAATGCTAATGTAGCCCACGATGAAATTGAGTTTGACACCCCTGTTCTAAATAAATCAAAACTAAAATGTGTACAAAAAAGTGCCAATTAATTATCTTTCAATCTGTTAATTGATTAATCGTCCTGTTCTTGAATAAAGAGCTGGCTTCATTAACAAAAAAATCATACTTTTTAATGGAAAAATCTGAATTATTACCTAGTAAACTTTGTAGTGGAGTAGCTGGGTAGAAGTATAAAGGGGAATTTAAGATTAAATACTTGAGTAAAGTTCCTCAAATATGCAGTACTACTACTCTGTTTCATTAAACCACTTCTACTTTTACTCAAGTACAATATCTGAGTACTTCTACTTTTACTCAAGTACAAGACCTGAGTACTTCTACTTTTACTCAAGTACAAGATCTGAGTACTTCTACTTTTACTCAAGTACAAGATGAGAGTACTTCTTCACCTCTGAAAACAGGAACCCCTGCTGAGAAGACACGTGGCACTTTCTCAAAATAATAACGTTAATAGGATTACAGTGACGTTACGACTAGTAGTGTGTAGTGGTGTTAATGGGATTACTGAGTATATACAGGGTATTTAAATGCAGCTGTATTAGGGAAGCGTAGATGCAAAAGTCAGAGATGTTATTAAGTGTTTACTAACTAGTTAAAACACGGCTGTTATAGTAGTTACTTTGTAAAATATATCTATAAATCGCCGGTTGTTTCCGACGTTTCCTTATGAATGAATGGACACCTTTGTAAACAAGTTTTCAACGTGGACACCGGTCTGAAACCAGAGCCAACCAAAGTGAATATAACATGACATTCTGCTCTTTTTCTAAAAACAACAATAGTAACTATTTAAAAGTGTTGGTGTGTGAAGTTACTGACCTGAGCTCCAGTCAGTGAGCGGCGGTTTATTAGGTCGTGATCAGGTTCAGGTCAGGGATGTCTTCTCACAGCCGAGAATCATTCCGCCTCAAATTCATCCTACACCGGAGCGCCGTGCGTCATGACGTCATGGAACCTCACGTGACCCGCTGAGACAGAGATAGTCTATTTGAGAAGATGCATCACTTTGAAGCAAAAACATAATAAATAAAATATATTGAATATTAACATAATTATAATAATAGGTAATAAATACCAAGTAAAACATACATCTGTGAAAAACACTTAAAACAAATATAGGTCAATAAACACAGGACTGAATAAAACATTAAAATAATTAGAATAATAATTAAAAAATTACATTAAAATAAGAATGAAAAAAATAATACAATTATAATAAATACAATTAAATTACAAGCCACATTTAAAAGGGTGGGTCTTCAGTCTTGAGGCTCCTAAAACTCTGAACTGTCATTCAATACGTAGCTGTCCTCCCATTTCCATCTGAAGCTCCAATTACTCATAAAACTCCTGTTACAGTTGGTGTGGGGGTTTCCAGCGCTCGCTCTGCTTCTCACCTCTCTGAACACGCCCTCTCTGATTGACACCTTGCAAGTTAAACCAGCTGCTCAACACTGAGGGGTTTGTTTTAGTGCTTCACAGCTGCTGGGACTTCTGGTCTTGCTGTGTGTTATTCTGCCTCTCAGATTCCTTCAGGAGTTTTACAGGTCATCACAGCAGGGTGGGATTCATGAGGATATCTGAGCTGTTAGAGAAACAAACGTGTGTAACACTATGACATCACAACACTACTGCACACTGTGTGAGAGGAAACTCAGGGTGTTCGGCTACTAGAGATGGCAAAAGTACACACACCCTTTACTCAAGTAGAAGTACAGATACTCGTGTTTAAAAATACTCTAGTAAAAGTAGAAGTACTGACTAAACTTCTTTACTCAAGTAAAAGTAAAGAAGTATGGGCTTTGAAATGTACTTAAGTAAAAAGTACCCATAACTAGCAGCTGTTTTAAAAAGTACCTGACCTCCCTTTATATTAATAGAACAATAATGTCATTGTTAGCTAATGAATGTTTCCATGCTGAACAACGGCAACATGACAACGTTTTCATTGGTCCCTCTTCTTTAGAGAAGACCAGGAAATGATGGATACACGGATCGTGTTCAAATCAATAGGCACGCAATGACTCTAAATAATAATGATCACGCCACCAAACACACATTCAAACTAAAGCTACCAGACGACGCTGAAGTTGGCTTCCGATTCAGAGCTTCCGATTCGGCAGTTAAGGGGAAAGTTAAGGGAAATTTAATTTACAGCGCTGAGCGAACAATCCTCCGTGTTTGTACCTCTTAAATCGCTGCATAGCCGATTTATTCGGACTAGATGATCCCAGAGAGTCTAAACATTCTTTATAACACAGTTTTAGATTTGTGAAACCTTTATTCTATTTGTGAAAATGCAACTGAGGGAAATTAGATTTTTCAACATTTGTATTGAGAAAGTCACAGCAGAAGTCCATGTCTCTCCATTTCATTTCTCGTCTGCATTATCATGTCTTCTTTTTCACTTTGAAACAACAATTTCAAGAGTGAAATTGTTGAAACTGTTGAAACTGAGTTTATACTGTAGATGCGAAAAGATGCGAAAAAAGCAGCGAAATCTCCTGAGTTGCTCCTGACTGCAGGCTGCTGTGCAGGTCTACAGTATAAACTCTATGGATAATGGGGTAATGGGGATCATGTCTGCAGGCAGTTGGGAGGTCAGGCGAATGCAAAGGTAGGAACACGATGAGGGCAAATGGTGGGAAGGAGAGGAAGAGCAGGGTCTGAAATGATGGCAGGTGTTAGTGGCAGATAAATGAAAATTATTTATATGTTGATAAATGAGACAAAGAATTGACCGAAAGCTTTTTATGAAAATGTCTATATAGCTCAAATGAAGAACAATGGCTGAATTATGGTTCTTCTAACACAGGCCACAATAACAGCTCTGGATAAAGTCGGAGGTATGCAACTGGCAGAAGCACTAGGAGAGATTGAGTGTGGCCAGTTAGAGGAAAAGTGAAAGAAAAACAGTCGTTTTCAAGAGCTCTTGAAATTGTTGTTTCAAAGTGAAAAAGAAGACATGATAATGCAGACGAGAAATTAAATGGAGAGACGTGGACTTCTGCCCTGACTTTCTCAATACAAATGTTGACAAATCAAATTTCCCTCAGTTGCATTTTCACAAATGGAATTAAGGTTTCACAAATCTAAAACTGTGTTATAAAGAATGTTTAGCCTCTCTGGGATAATCCAGTCCAGATTTGATGAGTCTGGGTACAGTGGTTTTAGATCAGGACCTGGTCTAATGTGGTCAAGATGCGAAAAAAGCACTGAAATCTCCCTTTTTTGTATTTTCACAAATAGAATAAAGGTTTCACAAATCTAAAACTGTGTTATAAAGAATGTTTAGACTCTCTGGGATCATCTAGTCCGAATAAATTGGCTATGCAGCGATTTAAGAGGTACACACACGGAGGATTGTTCGCTCAGCGCTGTAAATTAAATTTCCCTTAAAGGGGACCTATCATGCAAAATGCACTTTTGTACGTCTTTTATACATGAATATGTGTCCCCGGTGTTCCAGGGAACTCTCCAAGTGTCAGAAAACACAACCCTCTCTATTTTCCTCCATACCCAAATCTCTAAAAACGGGGCTGCAACGGATCTGATACAGACTGATACAGATTTGAAAATTCTCTGACGTCAGGAACGAGGAGCTCCGCTTATATGGCCAACTCTCCACCTATCAGGGGAATGGGAGGTTGCCGTGGCATGGTAACAGCATGGTAACAGCATGGTAACAGCATGGTAACAGCATGGTAACATGACGCTCGTGCCTCGCCCCCAACCTTTGCAGGGGGGCGTGGTCAGCTGCAGCTCATGCAAAGACAGGGCTGGAGGAGAGCAAAATGAGGCATGGCTAAAATGCATGATCTGTTTGGTATTTTGAAAAAAAAAACTTCACAGACATGTTTTATATAGGTATGGCCCTACAATATATTATTCAAATATAGCATGATAGGTCCACTTTAACTTTCCCCTTAACTGCCGAATCGGAAGCTCTGAATCGGAAGCCAACTTCAGCGTCGTAGTAAACCAGCCTGTTTGGAAAATGTAAGTAGTAAAAGTAAAAAGTCCTCAGAAAAATAAGTAGTGGAGTAAAGTACAGATACCAGAAACGTGTACTTAAGTACAGTAACGAAGTATTTGTACTCCAATACTTCCCACCTCTGTCGGTTAGTACTGATTTATTAAAATATTTAGCAAGTTTATGTACGATACTTTAATCTGTATGGCACATGGCCTCCCTCATAGGAACAAACACAGTATCTTATTGGCTGAAAATATCCAATCCTCTAAACTCCACCGTAATCTGTCTCGTTTATCTGACTGTCTGCAGCTGTGATGGAAATTAGAGTCTGAGATGAAAGGCTATTGACCTTTTTATATCGGAAATGTCATCCTCAGAAATCACAGAAAATGAAGTAATCTGTCTCCAGACTCTTTGCCAGCAATTTTTCAAATGTCAAAACTTTTTATTGATTTGTTTCCCTTTCTTCTTTTCCAGTTTTCAAACTTTAAGAGAAGAGTGTTGCAGGAATGGGTCCCACAACCCAGTAATGTGTCATCATTTTAACACTTCCTGTCCCCTAGTCTGGAAGTCAATGGTTTTCTGAATGTGTTTTTAGTTGTTGCCCTGAAATAAGGTCTGTGGTTAACACAAGCTGAAGAGATTTTAATTCTAGGACATAAAATACATCAGTAAACATTTTAAAGATTACTAACAAGTGTCTAAATGAGATGACTAAACATCATCACGCCCAACATTAGCCACCTTTAGCTTAGCGGTGGTGACGTGAAGTCATGTGACCGTGCTGTAGTTCCTTTATAGCCCAACATTAGCCACCTTTAGCTTAGCGGTGGTGACGTGAAGTCATGTGAACCGTGCTGTAGTTCCTTTATAGCCCAACATTAGCCGCCTTTAGCTTAGCGGTGGTGACGTGAAGTCATGTGACCGTGCTGTAGTTCCTTTATAGCCCAACATTAGCCACCTTTAGCTTAGCGGTGGTGACGTGAAGTCATGTGACCGTGCTGTAGTTCCTTTATAGCCCAACATTAGCCACCTTTAGCTTAGCGGTGGTGACGTGAAGTCATGTGACCGTGCTGTAGTTCCTTTATAGCCCAACATTATATTTTACTTTCCATTAATACACTTTTTTAAGACACTGAACGAGAACCCAGGCAGAGAAATGAACCCTGTGTAGTTTCATTAATCACGGGGAGGTTGATGATAATCCCAGAGTTGTAATTGGATGCAGGCTTACAGTATGTCCTCACATTTAAAGCATCCTGATAATCCTTTTGTTTTCCAACACCTGCACATTCAGTGATCAGGGCAGAGGGATTAGAGACTGCTGCACACAACACGAGGACTTCAACAGGTACATCTTTATTATTATCTTTTTTTGACAATATATTCATCATGTTATTATTACTTTATTGATGAATTTCTTTGTGAAGTACAATATACAGTGACAAGAAGTGATAGATGATACGGGAAAGTTGAAATGAACTAAAACTTGTCCTGTTGTGATAACATAATATACCGTACTAGCATGATTACCTATTGGCAGGAATACATTTACCATAACAGTAAGGGATGATTTAAGGGGTGACCTTCGCTTTAAAGATATCCTTAACGCCAATGCCTGTAAATAAGGTTGGAATTGAACAGCCAATATGACAGGGAAAGGGGCAGTTAGTAGCATATCCTGACTAACTGAAATTAACGCCTTTAATCTCTTTGTACAGGTATAACGCAAATACAAAAACAATCGCTTCAGTGCATATCCACATATCAACATCAATAAAAAAATAAAAATGCATATATACACATACATACATGCAATTCAAATGTACATCTCTGAATTGATCACTTAATAAATAAATTAACTATTTGTAACTATACTAAATATGTGTTGTTGATGACTTGTAGTGCAGTTGCAGTTTGTCTGTAACCGTATTAGTGCTGAGTCAGGGTTTTGACTCTTGGGCTAAAAACTGTTTAATCCAAAAAGTTTTTTTTACAATAGCTTTTCCCAATAAGATGATTCCCACTTAAAATATTCCATCAAAGCAGAATAGGGTGAAAGGTCCTTGCTGCAGATCTGTTTTAGTTTAAATGCCTAGTAGCAGTTCCTGACTAATTGCTGAATGATGAAGGTTTTCTCCATTAACTTTTTTTAAAGATGTTTCCCCCTTCTGATTCAGCCGGCAGCCTCATGTTGTGATTGGTCAACCAGCTTAGAGATGTCCCGCCCCTTAGCCTATCACGTGCAATGTGTTGGAGCGCTATAGCCAATAGGAGCAGGAGTGTTCCATAGTGATGTCACAGCTAAATAGGGTGATAGGATTTTGCTCGTTGCTGACCAAATGTTGACTTTAGAAGGTTTTTTGATAATTCTGTTTCCATCTTTTGTATCATTCTGGAGCACTAGCCAATAGGAGCGGGAGTGTTACATAGTGATGTCATCATGTTCCGGAACGTTGTGATTTCAGCCCTTTGCAGGCCATTTACATGCACTAATACCTATCCAACACACTAGAGGAGAGGGAAAACCTTGAAAAAGCAAAATACGGTGAAAGGGTTTTGCTCGTACTAAGGTTTTTTGGTCATTATTTTTCCCTCTTTTGTTTCATTCTGTGTTGGAAACATCTCACTCATCACCGGCTTGAGCTTCAACATCAGGATCCATGTATTTCTGATCCTCTCCAGAATGGAAGTAGTCATCACATACAGAGCATCAACTAGTTCCTGAACAGTGTCCTTCACATGCTGATATCCAAGAGAGGGAGTTACACAGTCACAAGATGGAGGAATAGAAAGCAGTATTCAATGTTTACTTCAGATTAGCTCCACGTCAGAAATGAGCATGCTTGTCATATGTCTATCTCCATAGAGGCTGAATCATCATGTTAATCACATAGCTATCATATGCCTCAAACAGTCCTGATGCTCTTCTAGGTAATCAGACATGCTGTCATGTACACAGCTACAGTTGGGATACCTTTGTTATCATGTTACTCTGATATTGGAAATGTACATTCACTATTTTCTCTCATTTTGCCCCCCCCTGTCAGCATCATGGTGGACGCAGCGGCAGCAGAGCTCTTCCTGGACGATAACCCTGAGTTTGCTAAGAGTTACTACGACCTGAACTTCAGACCGCAGCTGATCTCAGACCTGCTGGACGGCAGCCGGCGGATGCAGGTGGACGTCAGCCGGTTCCATGACCTCACCACGGTGGAAGAGAGCGAGGTTCTGTTCGATCTGATGCGAGACATCCAGGACAATCTGCAGATGGAGAGGTCCATGTTCAACCTGATGAAACACCTGAGCTTCATGCTGAGGGCCGACCGCATGAGCCTCTTCATGTACAGGCAGAGGAACGGAGTCGCAGAGCTGGCTACCAGGTGACACATTTCTCTGTTTCCTGTATCACAAACAGGATGTGGTCATTGAATCTGTAAATCAGGGGTGTCAAACTCATGCTAAACGAACCCCCCTTTGGAACATTTGAAGGTTTTCATTTTATGTGGCCAGCAAGAGCTTGCAAAGAATATAATACGTTTATTATACGGTTACGTGCAACTTTACAGAAGCACGTTGTTCATAAACTACATGTCCCACAATGCATTTCATTTTGTGACATGCGCACTGAAGAGACTTGCAATTATTTGCCCTAGACTTCTGCTTTCAGACGTAATTAATGATGAAGTTATTACCCTATTGCATAATAATCCAATGCAGAGGCAATAATGTAATATAATACATTATTTTATACATATTATATATTTACATATGTATATATATATTTAGTCTTAAAGTTACAACCGGCCCTTTGAGTAAAACGTAATGCTAATGTGGCCGCCATGAAATTGAGTTTGACACCCCTGCTGTAAATGCATTTGTGGCAAAAACCGTGAAAACCAAAAAGAGAATGGCACATCTACCTATTATAAAAAATTTATTTTACAATGTATTATAGCTTTGAAATCCTGCCATTAAACCACTTTTTTTTTAGGAATGTACCAGTAATCTGACTACTTGTTTTTAATGTAACTGTAAGGGAATACAGTCACCTTGTTTTGGTATCCTGTTCACATTATTCCCAGGTAAATACAGTATTCTTGCTGACGGTATTTTTGTGTACCTGCAGGTTGTTTAGCGTGACCAAGGACTCATTGTTTGAGGAGTGTCTGATTCCTCCGGACAGTGAGATCGTTTATCCTCTGGATCTGGGGGTCGTCGGACACGTGGCGTCGACCAAGAAGATGGTGAACATCGCCGACGTATCCGAGGTAAACACACACAAAAAAAAAGTAGTCCACTGTGCTTTCTGATGGATGAAAACTAATGTGTGTTGTCCACAGCCGACATTAAATTGACCCGACTTCTTTCTGCGGATTGATATGTCCAAATTGACCCATCCGCATCGAGTATTCAACTAAACCGTCCATTACCTGCATCTCAAAAAAAGAAACCCTTAATCTTCATTAAGATAGATAGACTTCTTTCTGCGGATTGATATGACTGCACATAGTCCCTTGATCAAAAGCGTTCTCCTTAGCAACGGTCTGTTCTTCTTAGCAACGGTCTGTTCTCCTTAGCAACGGTCTGTTCTTCTTAGCAACGGTCTGTTCTCCTTAGCAACGGTCTGTTCTCCTTAGCAACGGTCTGTTCTTCTTAGCAACGGTCTGTTCTCCTTAGCAACGGTCTGTTCTCCTTAGCAACGGTCTGTTCTTCTTAGCAATGGTCTGTTCTCCTTAGCAACGGTCTGTTAAGTTTTAACTAGGTCGTGTAATAGATATAGATTATAGAGTTCATGATTGACCACTTGAGATATTACAAATGAAACAGGTGAACTTAAGCATGTAAAATATGACTGTAAATATACTTTGGTTAGATTTAAATCATATGATTTTACAATTGAGGCAAACATGTTTTAGTGGACATTTTCTAAAATGTTACTTCACTAAAAAGGTTCGATTTTTGTGAATATTTGTAATATGCTGAACCACAAGGATTTCACCTAATAGCAGATTGTTATTAGATTTAAAACAAAAATACGTCATGCTACTGTGAGTATTTGTTGTGATTACAGACCATATATTTAGGAGTAAAATAAGACTTTATTCTCCCTGACCTTTTCCATGATAATCTTTATAAACTGCATTAATGTTTTGTGAATTGTTTCATATTCATTGTGAGGAACAAAATAGATAATATCCTGCTTATATTGTGTTAACAGATAATTGGCCCTTCAACCGGATTTTTATTTGTCAGACAGTTCATATATGTTTTGCATCTTCTCTGTCATCTGTATATTTTTCTTATTCTCTAATGCTGGTTTATTTCTATTTCTATTTTGAGATGTTTATATTTTATAATAGTTTATTTCTACTCTTTACATTTGTTATTATGTGCAATGCCTTGTTTTGTTTTCTGCTGATGCAACCATTTTTTTCTCGCAAATTGGGATTAATAAAGTAATAATAATAATAGCTTGGATTTATATAGCGCCTTTCATCAGACCCAAGGTCGCTTTACAAAGACAAACAGGAGTAAAAACAAACAAACAAAAACAAAAAGGCAGTCAGACAAACAGTCAGACAGACAAAACAACAAATAGATTAGGGGCCAAAGGCCTTGGCAAACAGATGGGACTTGAGGGCCCTTTTGAAGGCGTCAAGTGTGGGGATGTTGCGGTTCTCCGCAGGGAGAGCATTCCAGAGGGTGGGGGCTGCCACACTGAAGGCTCTGTCCCCGAAGGTTCGCAGTTTGGTGCGGGGGGGTGGTAAGCAGGCCAGAGTCTGGTGGATGAGGGTGGGGGTGATGTGCTGCCACGGCTTTGTATGTGCGAGTACCCTAGCAGCACAGATTTGAACATACTGGAGCCTGTCCAGGGTTTTGTTGGGGACCCCAAACAGGACACCATTTCATTTAATCGTTTATTTGAACCGGGACAGTGCACATTGATGAACACTTTAAAACAAAAATAATGCTTACAAGTGTAAATGAGCCGGATTTTAGCTTTGAGCTAATTTCCATCCGTAGTCCCGTCACATACAACATATAAGAATATGACATTTATATACATAGCAAAAATAAATACATGATATGCAGAAAGAGCATGAGCAGCATACAAGCATTTACCACATGGCAGTACAATGTAGCAGCTACGACATGTAAAGTGCAGGAGGAGATACCCCTGTGTTAAAGTGCATTTAGCGGTGATTACACGTCTGTTTGTTTCTCAACCATTCTTTGAGTTGACCTTTGAAGCTATTGAGAGTGGGACAATCCCGTATCTCAGTTGGGAGGCTATTCCACAATGAGCTGCCTTTAATGGAGAGGACATTTTGTCCAAAAGTTGTCCAAACGGGAGGTGACGAAAGCATGGACTAGGGTTTCTGCAACCGACTCAGAGAGTGACGGTCGGAGTCTGGCAATGTTCTTTAGATGGAAAAATGCGGATTTGATGACAGACTTGATGTGGGAGTGGAAGGAAAGGGTGGAGTCAAAGATGACACCCAGGAGACATGGGGAGATGGAGCAGCCGTCAACCTCAAGGATGAAGTCACCAACCTTCTGGAGCAGCGCCTTGGGTGCCACAACCATGAGCTCTGTTTTCCTGCTGTTGAGTTTGAGAAAATTGGACGACATCCAGGTTTTTATGTCGTGCAGGCAGTTGACGAGAGACTGAGGGGGGAGCTGGGAGGATGGAGTAGTGCTGAGATATAATTGGGTATTATCAGCGTAGCAGTGGAAGTTGAGTCCATGATGGCGGATGATCTGGCCAAGGGGGGGCATGTAAATAGTGAACAGGAGGGGGCCAAGCACAGAGCCCTGGGGTACACCGTGATTGACTGGGGCCGGGGGTGAATTTGAGCCATTAATGGTTACACACTGTTCCCTGTTATGGAGGTAGGATGTGAACCAGGACAGGGCTGTGCCAGTGACACCTAGGAGGTCAGATAAGCGGGTGAGGAAGATGGTGTGGGAGATGGTGTCAAACGCTGCAGAGAGGTCCAGGAGGATGAGGATGCTGAGGCGGCCAGAGTCAGCAGCAATGAGGAGATCGTTGATGATCTTGATGAGGGCGGTCTCAGTGCTGTGTTGGAGTATGAAGCCAGATTGGAGGGGCTCATAGAGTTGGACATGTACAGATGGAGTTGGCCGGCGACTACTCTTTCCAGAGTTTTACTTGGGAAGGGAAGGTTGGAGATCGGCCGGTGGTTGTGGAGGTCGTCGGGGTCCAGGCCAGGTTTTTTGAGGATGGGGGTGACTGAGGCAATTTTGAAGCTGGTGGGGACTATACCAGGAGCCAGAGAAGCGTTGATGATGACCACCATGTAGGGGCAGAGGGTGGGTAGGCAGTCCTTGACCAGGGCTGTGGGCATGGGGTCCAGGGAGCAGGTGGCGGTCTTGGCCGAGCTGACCAGTTTGGCCACTTGGGAAGCATCCACAGGGGAGAAGGAGGAGAGGTTGCAATGGGAGAGGCGCTGCGCTGGGGGTGCGTTGCCAGGTGGCTGGGGTGCAGGTAGGGGGGAGGGCCAGGCGCCAGGAGCCCCTGAGGGCTGGGGGGCGTCAGTACATCTCATCTTATCTTTATTTTATAAATAAATAGAAATCCAAGTTTTGTAAGGCAAGGCAATGCAAGTTTATTTATACAGCACTTTTCAACACAAGGCAATTCAAAGTGCTTTACAAAAATGAAAGACATTAAGAGCATAAAACAACGACCTGCAGGTTTCTGGGAGTTAGTTCCAGAGATTTGGAAATATCTCTCACCAAATTCTCCCATTCCTCTACCCCTAGTCTTCCTGTGAAATTATAGTTCCTTTGACAGTTTTCTACCCTTTTTATATTCCTTTCATCCTTCTCTTTCATCCATGTTGCATCCCCAGACAACACATGTTCCTGTTTTACTGTTACCTGAAGCCATCTTTGACCTTTACTTTCTTTTCAAATCCCAGAATTAGGATATTTAAACCCGTTTTAAGATCGTCGCTCTTTCTCTTTCTGACCACCAGATGGCGACATGAAACCACAGTGTCTCTTTTCCTTTTAATCTCATTACAGCCACTACTGTGACATTTGAAAAGCTTATTCCCACACACACTTCATATTCCCACACACACTTCATATTCCTGCACACACTTCATATTCCTGCACACACTTCAGGTTTCTGCTGTCCACCCCCTCCTCCCAGCTGTCAGAGTGACATTTACACAGCAGGTCCTCCAGTACCAGCAATGTAATGCAACTGTAAGGGAACAAAGTGGGAATATAATCCGTTCCTTCCAGAGCTCTCCGTCACAGACACATGAAGCATGCTGGGAACTGGAAGGGTTTCAAAGCCTCCCAGCAGAGAGAGGAGATGTGATGTTTCTATAATTGCTCTTCTTTATGATGCTAATGCACTGAGCACGGCCTCTCAGAGTGATGCACGGTTCAGGAAGCGTTTGTGTTTTATTTCCATTATTCCCAGTCCATCCAGAGCCTTCCTCCTGTAGGTGGGATTATGTGTTTCTGGGATTATGTAGCAACAACAGCTGGCCTCATTCCTCCCCTTCTCCTTCAGATTTAATAACAAAACGACATACGAGCTAATGTGTCCTGCTGTTATTTAAAGGTGTGGTTGAGGTGGGGGGGGGTGCAGATGAAGCAAGTTAATCTGTCCTGAATTACAGCGATCCCAGATTACTCCCAGAGGTCAAAGCGCTCTGAGCCTTTTTCACAGACTCAGCAAATCTCTCACCTTCATCTGCAGCTCTGAGCGGATTAGTCCGTCTGTTAGTATCTGGTGGGGTTGCTTTATTTTTTATTATATATTATATTATATATATATATATATATATATATATATATATATATATATATTATGAATTAGTTTTGCTCAATTAAAACCCTTATTTAACGTTTGCCGACTTGAAGTTTCAAAGTGCAGTTTTTTTGTATTGTTATTATTATTGTTATTTACAATTGTTATACACATATTTTATTAGTTATTATTCCCATGGAGAATTCCACCTTAATTCCACCCTAGAGCCACATTGAAATCCTCCTAAAGAGCATTACCAAAGAAGCTTCATTTGTCATTTTAATTATTATTATTTATTATTATTATTATATATTATTATTAATTATTATTATCATTATTTATTATTATTATTATTATTATTATTATTATTATTATTATTATTATTATTATTATTATTATTATTATTATTATATTATTTATTATTATGTTTTATTTATTTATTGTATTATTATTATTATGTATTATTATTATTCTATTTATTATTATTGTTATTTTACATATATATTTCAAAATTGTTATTAAATCATCTATTTATTACATATGTCTTATTATATTCATTTAAATGCATTTTTTAAATGTTTGTGGAGCAGCAATTTATTGAGGTAAAAGGCACATAAAAATCAATATGTTTTATGATGTTTACGTCAGTGTTTCCTCCAGACCAGGGCTGAGACTGAGAGCGGGGGGTGTGACGTCATGTCAATTTTGAATTAAGCCTTCCCTTTATAGATACAATCTCTTTACTTAGTGATGGGAATTCCGGCTCTTTTTAGTGAGCCGGATCATTTGGCTCGGCTCACTAAGAAGAGCCGGCTCCTTCGGCTCCTAAACGGCTCTTCATGTTACCACAGTTTACCGCGGAGCCTCAGTTTCACACGCGTGCTCCACTAGCACCCCCCGTCAAGGCTCGCCGGCAGTACACTTTCCGTCACAGGAACACGCTTTGCTGGCGGCGAAAATAATCCCACCAGACTCCTTTGCCCCTCCAACAGAGGGATGTCCTTGTCCTTTTTCCTTTTCGTCATTTCAAGCTATAAAAACTCTCGGTCTTCTCTCAAATTATTACATTTTTTTGGATGCCCTCGGCTCGAGTTCAGGGCGTCCCGAGCTGTCAAATGACGGCAAGACGCCTCCCTGGCAGAAACGCTGGTTTACGTTAAAGCATGCCTATTTAAATGAATGCTAACTATTTCAATATTTATCTATTCAACCAGGAGAAGTCTCATTATGATTAAACATGTCTTTTACGAGAGCCAAGCAGCGCAAATGACAGACACCGAAAAACAATAACAGATCAGGCGCGTTGTCCCACAGACTGAGTCATTAAAATCCATCCTACATTTAGATTATGTCACTAAAGCTGCTGAATGGAGGTCGAGGTGAAGCTGAGGATAACGAGCAGGATGAAGACTCCTCGGGCTTTAGGGGGTCAAAGGTCACCCAATAACCAGCTGTCCACCAAACAGGTTTATCTGTAAGCTGCCAATCAGATGAGGAAGGGGGCGGGTCCACCGTCAGTGTGAACCTCCAATATCTTAAATAATGGGAAATGTGGTTTTTGAGGATGTTGAATCAATGTCTGACATATTTGGCCATATTTGTACTCCCAGTGGGTCGATTTTGTAGTTTTAGGGGACTCAAAACTATCCTACTTTCTGGTTGAAACTGCCATTTATGATCTGAAAATGTCCGAAATGGACTCAGCATCCTCAATAACCTCCAAAAACACTCCAAAGTTGTCCGAATCAACCAAGCCATTTCTTAACTAATGTCTGCATATGCTAATTAATGCTACTTGTGCTAATTTTGCAACATATGCAAGTTAGCATCCAGCAGTTTCTATGTGCTGGAGACCTGTACTTTACGTTTCTATCATAAAACTCTGGGCCCTCTGAGTGAGCCTCCAATGTCTAAAACAATGTGACATTTGCTTATTGGGGATGATTAATTAATTTCTGACATATTTAGGTTAAAAAATGGCAGTTTCAGTCGTCTAAAACTACAAGAACGACCCAAAATGCAAGTTAATCAGTCCACAGGGACACACATACAGTATGGCCACTTTCTGGGTAAAACTGCCACTTTTGATCCTGAAAGTGTCAGAAATGTCCCCAATAACCTCCAAAACCTATTGTCTGCAAATGATAATTAACTCAATTTATGCTCATTTTGCAAATTGCCCAACATGCAAGTTAGCATCCGGCAGTTTCTATGTGCTGGAGACCCTGACTATACATTTCTTTCATAAAACGTTGGGGTCTCAACAGCGGGACTCTGGGAAACAGCTTTAAGTTCTATCTGGACTTCTCTTTTCCGTAACGAGCCGTTAACGAGCCATCCTCCTCAGCTTCACCCTGAAGGGACTCAATGGATGACCCTCTGTACAGGAGGGTCAGAAACAGCCGGGGATTGTGGGTAACGGAGAGTCTTTGCTGGCAGCGTTTATGGAGGAAAGTTAATCAAAGACCAGCCTGGGAGTTTTGAAGGATGCAGGAGAGGAGAGGGGCAAAGAGCAAGCAATTCAATCTGATCAGAGTTGGGAAGTATTGGAGTACAAATACTTTGTTACTGTACTTAAGTACATTTCTCTGGTATCAGTACTTTACTCCACTACTTATTTTTCTGACAACTTTTTACTTTGACTTCTTACATGTTGAACTCAAATACCTGTACTTTCTACTTCTTACATGTTGAACACAAATACCTGTACTTTCTACTTCTTACATGTTGAACACAAATACCTGTACTTTCTACTTCTTACATTTTGAACACAAATACCTGAACTTTCTACTTCTCACATGTTGAACACAAATACCTGTACTTTCTACTTCTTACATTTTGAACCCAAATACCTGTACTTTCTACTTCTCACATGTTGAACACAAATACCTGTACTTTCTACTTCTTACATGTTGAACCCAAATACCTGTACTTTCTACTTCTCACATGTTGAACACAAATACCTGTACTTTCTACTTCTTACATTTTGAACCCAAATACCTGTACTTTCTACTTCTCACATGTTGAACACAAATACCTGTACTTTCTACTTCTTACATTTTGAACCCAAATACCTGTACTTTCTACTTCTTACATTTTGAACCCAAATACCTGTACTTTCTACTTCTCACATGTTGAACACAAATACCTGTACTTTCTACTTCTTACATTTTGAACCCAAATACCTGAACTTTCTACTTCTCACATGTTGAACTCAAATACCTGTACTTTCTACTTCTTACATGTTGAACACAAATACCTGTACTTTCTACTTCTTACATTTTGAACACAAATACCTGTACTTTCTACTTCTTACATTTTGAACCCAAATACCTGTACTTTCTACTTCTCACATGTTGAACACAAATACCTGTACTTTCTACTTCTTACATTTTGAACCCAAATACCTGAACTTTCTACTTCTCACATGTTGAACCCAAATACCTGAACTTTCTACTTCTCACATGTTGAACTCAAATACCTGTACTTTCTACTTCTTACATGTTGAACTCAAATACCTATACTTTCTACTTCTCACATGTTGAACACAAATACCTGTACTTTCTACTTCTCACATGTTGAACTCAAATACCTGTACTTTCTACTTCTCACATGTTGAACCCAAATACCTGTACTTTCTACTTCTCACATTTCCCAAACAGGCTGGTTCCTTTAGTTTGAATGTGTGTTTGGTGGCGTGATCATTATTATTTAGAGTCATTGCGTGCCTATTGATTTGAACACGATCCGTGTATCCATCATTTCCTGGTCTTCTCTAAAGAAGAGGGACCAATGAAAACGTTGTAATGTTGCCGTTGTTCAGCATGGAAACATTCATTAGCTAACAAAGTCAAGATTTTGAGAAAAAGTCAGAATTTTGAGGAAAAGTCAGAATTGTTGCTTATTGATGCTACTTATATTCTTGAGAGGATAATAAATACATGTATCCTTATATTGAAGCTCAAGCCGGTGACGAGTGATATTTTCCTAACAGTCAGTAATCTAATATCTCCTCACAGAGCCCTCATTACAGCGACTTTGTGGACGAACTGACCGAATATAAGACGAAGAGCGTCCTCGCCACTCCGATAATGAACGGGAAAGACATGGTGGCCGTCATGATGGCCGTCAACAAGCTGGAAGAACCGTGCTTCACCGCCAAGGATGAAGAGGTAACGCTGAGTCATTCCCATTTAGTTTTAGTGATGCAGTCACTGGGAACACATCAAGTATCGGGACACAAACCATCAGACTCAGGGACAGGTTATCCCACAGGCCATAAGACTGTTAAACACCGGAACTTTTTTAAGAACATCCATAACATTCATCTGTTTGCAGCTTGCTAATTATTTATCTATATCATATTCAATGTACTTGTATATAGATTCCACATGTCATTTCATTTTATTGTTGTAAAAGTAAATTCAAAGTTTTTCCATAACGCACAAAGGTATAAGCCAATATTACCTTCTTAAATTCATCTTTGTTTTGGTTCGTTGCAATAATAATTAACACACACATTTTGTATAAAGTATATGTATCCAGTCCCATGTCAATAAGACTATTGAGAACTTTTAAAATATTCCTCTAAGGTACATTTAAGCAAAAAAGAATGTTTGATGTATAGGAACCAGGAGAGGTTATCACTTCCATTTCTCAGTGTGTGTGTGTGTGTGTGTGTGTGTGTGTGTGTGTGTGTGTGTGTGTGTGTGTGTGTGTGTGTGTGTGTGTGTGTTTTTCTTTCTTTCAGACCCTCAACAAGTACCTGTACTTCGCCAACCTGCTGCTGAGAGTCTACCACCTGAGCTACCTGCACAACTGTGAGACCCGCAAAGGACAGGTGAGGCACTTCAAAGAAAACGTCAACTTCTCATGACCGTACGCAGGACTTGTTTTTTCTGATTGGTCTCCTGTGATCAGGTGCTGCTGTGGTCGGCCAGCAAGGTGTTTGAGGAGCTGACGGACATCGAGAGGATGTTCCACAAAGCGCTGTACACGGTCAGAGCGTTCCTGAACTGTGACCGCTACTCTGTGGGTCTGCTGGACATGACCAAGACCAAGGTGGGTGTCTCTACTTTAAAGAGTCCTGCTGATGTTCAGGTGTATATGAGTATGTAGTGTCTCTACTTTAAAGAGTCCTCTCCTGCTGATGTTCAGGTGTATATCAGTATGTAGTGTCTCTACTTTAAAGAGTCCTGCTAATGTTCAGGTATATATGAGTATGTAGTGTCTCTACTTTAAAGAGTCCTCTCCTGCTGATGTTCAGGTGTATATCAGTATGTAGTGTCTCTACTTTAAAGAGTCCTGCTAATGTTCAGGTGTATATGAGTATGTAGTGTCTCTACTTTAAAGAGTCCTCTCCTGCTGATGTTCAGGTGTATATCAGTATGTAGTGTCTCTACTTTAAAGAGTCCTGCTAATGTTCAGGTGTATATGAGTATGTAGTGTCTCTACTTTAAAGAGTCCTCTCCTGCTGATGTTCAGGTGTATATCAGTATGCAGTGTCTCTACTTTAAAGAGTCCTCTCCTGCTGATGTTCAGGTGTATATCAGTATGTAGTGTCTCTACTTTAAAGAGTCCTCTCCTGCTGATGTTCAGGTGTATATCAGTATGTAGTGTCTCTACTTTAAAGAGTCCTCTCCTGCTGATGTTCAGGTGTATATCAGTATGTAGTGTCTCTACTTTAAAGAGTCCTCTCCTGCTGATGTTCAGGTGTATATCAGTATGTAGTGTCTCTACTTTAAAGAGTCCTCTCCTGCTGATGTTCAGGTGTATATCAGTATGTAGTGTCTCTACTTTAAAGAGTCCACTCCTGCTGATGTTCAGGTGTATATCAGTATGTAGTGTCTCTACTTTAAAGAGTCCTCTCCTGCTGATGTTCAGGTGTATATCAGTATTTAGTGTCTCTACTTTAAAGAGTCCTCTCCTGCTGATGTTCAGGAGTATATCAGTATGTAGTGTCTCTACTTTAAAGAGTCCTCTCCTGCTGATGTTCAGGTGTATATCAGTATGCAGTGTCTCTACTTTAAAGAGTCCTCTCCTGCTGATGTTCAGGTGTATATCAGTATGTAGTGTCTCTACTTTAAAGAGTCCTCTCGTGCTGATGTTCAGATGTATATCAGTATGTAGTGTCTCTACTTTAAAGAGTTCTCTCCTGCTGATGTTCAGGTGTATATCAGAATGTAGTGTCTCTACTTTAAAGAGTCCTCTCCTGCTGATGTTCAGGTGTATATCAGTATGTAGTGTCTCTACTTTAAAGAGTCCTCTCCTGCTGATGTTCAGGTGTATATCAGAATGTAGTGTCTCTACTTTAAAGAGTCCTCTCCTGCTGATGTTCAGGTGTATATCAGTATGTAGTGTCTCTACTTTAAAGAGTTCTCTCCTGCTGATGTTCAGGTGTATGTAGTGTCTCTACTTTAAAGAGTTCTCTCCTGTTGATGTTCAGGTGTATGTAGTGTCTCTACTTTAAACAGTTCTCTCCTGCTGATGTATCAGGGAAGGGAAACCCCCAACAACCTGAACAGGGCCTCTTTAAACGTAATGCACTGATTGCTTATTAGCTTTCTTTGCAGGGTTTCTTTGATGAACCTGCTCTACTTTCTTCCGCTTTAATCCCCACAGTAACACTTTATATCTACTGATCAAAGTGGAACTATCCCCATGTATTTATGTTTACTACCGTTTTGTAGTAAAAACTACTTATTGTCTCTCTGTCTCTTGATTACGAGCAGCTGCTTTAGATTCCTAACACCTGCTCTCTGAGAACAAACACATGTTGTCTGCACACACAGATGGCTGTCTGCGGTTCATCAATAACGCTCTTACAAAACAAACTAAACTAGCAGCTCCGCTTATGGAAACTGTGCACTGATAAAAACACATATTTCACGGCATGTGTGTGTGTGTGTGTGTGTGTGTGTGTGTGTGTGTGTGTGTGTGTGTGTGTGTGTGTGTGTGTGTGTGTGTGTGTGTGTGTGTGTGTGTGTGTGTGTGTGTGTGTGTGTGTGTGTGTGTGTGTGTGTGTGTAGGAGTTCTTTGACCTGTGGCCGGTTCTCATGGGAGAAGTTCCCCCGTATGATGGACCTAAGACTCCTGATGGCAGGGTGAGAATAATCAATAACTGTTATTACTTTACCTACATGTCTATATTTCTTTTTCTTTCTGACTTTCCTCAAAACTTTAATCACAGAAAAGAAATGGTGAGAAAAAAAAATCAATTATTTTTGTATTGACTTTTTGTGACTGATTTTCTTATCTCAGATTCGGCAGAAATATATCTTACATATTTTTTATCATGTATTTTTTTCTTCTGACTTTTTTTCTCAGAATTCTGACTAAGAAATAAAAGTGGTTTGAAAAAAAAAAAATTCTAATTGTATGACTTTTTCTCATAATTCTGACTTTAATGACAGACCTATAAAAAAAATCACTTTTGGTCAGAATTAAAAAATGATTTCAGAAGTGCCCCTAATTCTCTTCCATAGTCCCAAAAGTTTTATTATTTTTTATTTAAATGTGGCTCTATCACTATTACTACTGAGATATTTTCACTACAGCTGCTGCAACTAACTGTAAATACCATTCCTTCATCTCCACTCTCTAAAGGAAATTATCTTCTACAAACTGATCGACTACATCCTCCACGGCAAAGAGGACATCAAAGTCATCGCGTGAGTCACAACGGAGATCCAGTTAAAGAGTTTTGACCACTAGGGGAAAAGCAGTGGAGCTTTTTTTGTTTGTTCTGTGCCCTACACATACTTGACGTATTTTATGTCGTAGCTTGACCACAGACCTTATTTCAGACTAACAACAAAAAACACTTTCAGAAAACCATTGATCTCCAGACCAGGACGTGGTGACATTTTGACTCATGTTGGGGTTTTAGGACTCATTCCTCCTCCACTCTATTCCACTGATACACTGAGGTTTATGAAAGCGTTTTTAAAACAGAGATAAGAGCAGGATATTAATGATGTTTTTTCCTTTCTCACAAAACCATTCATGATTTTTTAATACCTAATAATAGAAGGAACAAAATAAGTCATTTATCTTCAGCATTTGTTTTGTTTCTATGATCCAGCGCTGCTGCTCTTGTAAACAGTATTATCTCACCTGTGTTAATGGAAAGGGCTGCATTATTTAATATGGATGATTCTACATAGCGTTTCATATAAACACAGAGTAGGACATTAATCTCCATGTTTGTTGTGTTTTCAGTTTGTTGGAGATGATGATCATAACAATAACATTTTCCATGAACGTGTGTTGGTCCTCAGGACTCCTGCAGCCGATCACTGGGCGCTGGTGAGCGGGTTACCAACATACGTAGCAGAAACTGGACTGGTACGTGTTTCTCTTCCTCTAGTTCAGTTGCTTTAAGATCACACTGTTCTGATTTGAGCATCCACTCTTTAGTATGTAATGAAAGAGTGCAGAGTTAATGAAACATAAAGACATTACATGAAAAGGTGTGACCATTTTCAATTACAGTTATTATGTATTATTTTGTGAATAACCAGAGGTGGGAGAAGTACTCAGGTCTTGTACTTCAGTAAAAGTAGAAGTACTCAGATCTTGTACTTGAGTAAAAGCAGAAGTACTCAGGTCTTGTACTTGAGTAAAAGTAGAAGTACTCAGGTCTTGTACTTCAGTAAAAGTAGAAGTACTCAGATCTTGTACTTGAGTAAAAGTAGAAGTGCTCAGATCTTGTACTTGAGTAAAAGTAGAAGTACTCAGGTCTTGTACTTGAGTAAAAGTAGAAGTACTCAGATCTTGTACTTGAGTAAAAGTAGAAGTGCTCAGATCTTGTACTTGAGTAAAAGTAGAAGTACTCAGGTCTTGTACTTGAGTAAAAGTAGAAGTACTCAGATCTTGTACTTGAGTAAAGTACTCAGATATTGTACTTGAGTAAAAGTAGAAGTACACAGGTCTTGTACTTGAGTAAAAGTAGAAGTACACAGGTCTTGTACTTGAGTAAAAGTAGAAGTCCTCAGATCTTGTACTTGAGTAAAAGTAGAAGTACTCAGATCTTGTACTTGAGTAAAAGTAGAAGTACTCAGATCTTGTACTTGAGTAATTGTAGAAGTACTCAGATCTTGTACTTGAGTAAAAGCAGAAGTACTCAGGTCTTGTACTTGAGTAAAAGTAGAAGTACTCAGGTCTTGTACTTCAGTAAAAGTAGAAGTACTCAGATCTTGTACTTGAGTAAAAGTAGAAGTGCTCAGATCTTGTACTTGAGTAAAAGTAGAAGTACTCAGGTCTTGTACTTCAGTAAAAGTAGAAGTACTCAGATCTTGTACTTGAGTAAAAGTAGAAGTGCTCAGATCTTGTACTTGAGTAAAAGTAGAAGTACTCAGGTCTTGTACTTGAGTAAAAGTAGAAGTACTCAGATCTTGTACTTGAGTAAAGTACTCAGATATTGTACTTGAGTAAAAGTAGAAGTACACAGGTCTTGTACTTGAGTAAAAGTAGAAGTACTCAGATCTTGTACTTGAGTAAAAGTAGAAGTACACAGGTCTTGTACTTGAGTAAAAGTAGAAGTACTCAGATCTTGTACTTGAGTAAAAGTAGAAGTACTCAGATCTTGTACTTGAGTAAAAGTAGAAGTACTCAGATCTTGTACTTGAGTAATTGTAGAAGTACTCAGATCTTGTACTTGAGTAAAAGTAGAAGTACTCAGATCTTGTACTTGAGTAAAAGTAGAAGTACTCAGATCTTGTACTTGAGTAAAGTAGAAGTACCAGAGTGTAGGAATACTCTGTTACAGTAAAAGTCCTGCATTCAAAATGTTCCTCAAGTAAAAGTAGAAAAGTATTCTCATCAAAATATAGTGAAAGTAGCGACAGTAAAAGTAGTCATTGTGCAGATTGGTCCATTTCAGAATAATATATATGATATGTTTTATAATGATTGATCATGAAAGTGTTCTCAAAGCTGGTAAAGGTGCAGCTAGTTTGAATGACTTTGTATACTGCAGGGTAGCTTGTGGATTTACTCCAGGTGGAACTAAAGTCTGATTTAACACTTGATTATATTTCACATCATTCATCCACATCTTGAAGCGCGGTAGATTTTGTCCCGTGACACTAGTGTTGTAGTACTTGAGACCGGTCTTGGTCTTGGTCATGATTCAAATTCAAAGGTTGTATTGTCATACGCACAAAGCTACAGTGTAGAAATGGCAAATAAATGATTCTGATGCTGGAGACGATAGGCTGCCCTGATAACAGAGGTGTAGCGCTAACGTTAGCATCCAGTGCTACCCATCCCAACTTCCTATAGAAGAACTTTCTTTATAGGCCTACCTCTCCTTACTCGACATATTTGCATCCTCCATCGACAGGGATGATTTGCCAGGAAGAGTTTCCACTGTTACATTACTGCGTGTTTTAATGGAAGCAATGTTCTCAGGTGGCAGTGATGCAGTGTACATCTTTAACGCTCTTATTTTGAAATGGAGATCTTGACCCTGAAGCAGGCAGAAAGCAATGCTGCCCAAACGATGATGGAGTCATTATTCTGCAGACATCATGCAGCTAAAGCAAAAAAAAAAAGTTCTCTATAGACACTTTAAACTTATGGGAGGAACAAAAATCCACTTTGTAAACTTATCGTTTGTTGGATTCTCCTCAGGGCGCTGTAAATCAGACGTAATGGACATTAGCACAGCAGCAGGGGGACAGACACTAAATCCATAAAAGCCAAACCTTTCATCTGCCAGAAATATTTTCAAAGTCTACAAGAACATTTTAAATTCAATGCATTTCACTTTCACATCTACTTTATTGCAAAAAGTTATTAGCAGTGGCTCAGTCAGTAGGGGCTTGGACTGTGAGCCGTAGGGTCGCCGGTTCAAGTCCCCGACCAGACCTAAATATGGAGTGTGGACTTCTACTTGGAGAGGTCCTAGTTCACCTCCTGGGCCCTGCCGTGGTGCCCTTGAGCAAGGCACCGGACATCCCCCTTCCCCCCTCACTCCCATTGCTCCCCGGGCGCTGTACAATAGCTGCCCACTCCTCCTAGTACTAGACTCCTGGTGCTAGACTCCTGGTGCTAGACTCCTGGTACTAGACTCCTGGTACTAGACTCCTGGTTCTAGACTCCTGGTACTAGACTCGTGGTACTAGACTCCTGGTGCTAGACTCCTGGTGCTAGACTCGTGGTACTAGACTCCTGGTGCTAGACTCCTGGTTCTAGACTCCTGGTACTAGACTCCTAGTACTAGACTCCTGGTGCTAGACTCCTGGTACTAGACTCCTGGTACTAGACTCCTGGTACTAGACTCCTGGTGCTAGACTCCTAGTACTAGACTCCTGGTACTAGACTCCTGGTGCTAGACTCCTGGTGCTAGACTCCTGGTTCTAGACTCCTGGTGCTAGACTCCTGGTGCTAGACTCCTGGTTCTAGAATCCTGGTGCTAGACTCCTGGTGCTAGATTCCTACTAGACTCCTAGTACTAGACTCCTGGTACTAAACTCCTGGTACTAGACTCCTGGTGCTAGACTCCTGGTGCTAGACTCCTGGTGCTAGACTCCTGGTTCTAGACTCCTGGTGCTAGACTCCTGGTGCTAGACTCCTGGTGCTAGACTCCTGGTGCTAGACTCCTAGTACTAGACTCCTGGTACTAAACTCCTGGTACTAGACTCCTGGTACTAGACTCCTGGTACTAGACTCCTGGTACTAGGATGGGTTAAAAGCAGAGAACACATTTCACTGTGTGCTCTGCATGTGAGACCATTAGAGAGTGTTTCATCCCTCCCATTTATATTCTATTAGAGGACACTGAGGGATTTGACTTTTTGACAAGTTTCCTGCCATCGTGGAGCCCAAAGTGCATGAAATAAACAACAGAGACATTTTTCCTAGAAACTGAGGGCAAAAGAAATGTCGGTCGGACAGAAATGCATTGGGATTTCACACGAGGGGTTTTCGATTGATTCGCTGTGCGGCAATACAACTTTTCCACTCCTGAATTGACTGTAACAGACAGTAATGAACATTTGGTCCCTAAAAAAGGGCCAAGAGCAGTTTTTCTTATGATAACATTATAGCAAATATGTGGTTAAACCTGACTTCCTCTACACATTTTATATATTGTAATATAATGTGCATATTCTTACTTTAACTTCTTACGTTTTTGTAAATATCTTAAATTAATTTTATTGTATATTTGTATTGCACATTCATTCGTACTTTAACTTGTTATGTTTATATATATTTTATTATTCACAACTCTTATCGGATGTCCTCCTTTGCTTTGTTATATCTTTCTCTACAGATTTGTAACATCATGAACGCAGGTCAGGACGATTTCTTCAAATTCCAGGTGAGACGTCCTTTAACTTTTGTCCAGTTTGGAGTAACTTAACACCAAAGCATCAGTTTGTCATGAAGTCTGCGTTATGATCTTCACAACATGTTCAAATGTTCCTTTTCTACCTGGAAAGTTAAAACATAACTTCATCCAATAGCCATGATTAAGCTCCAGCTTTCTAAACTAATCCTTAATATGTCTCCTGCTCAGTGGATGTCATTAGGTAATAATATTTCAATCAGGAGAGACGGTTTTGATGAAAGAATACATATTTATTGCCAGGAATACACAAATGAATGTAATGGTGATTTTGGCGATTAGGCCCCGTTGTGCAGGAGTATCATTCGGGAGGGGAGAACCGATCTGATGAAACCCCCTGGGATCTAGACCCTGGTGGTGGTGAATGGATAGTTGGGTTCGGTCTGAAGGGGAGGGGCTTAGCTTGACCCTGGTGGTGGTGAATGGATAGTTGGGTTCGGTCTGAAGGGGAGTGGCTTAGCTTGACCCTGGTGGTGGTGAATGGATAGTTGGGTTCGGTCTGAAGGGGAGTGGCTGAGCTTGACCCTGGTGGTGGTGAATGGATAGTTGGGTTCGGTCTGAAGGGGAGGGGCTTAGCTTGACCCTGGTGGTGGTGAATGGATAGTTGGGTTCGGTCTGAAGGGGAGTGGCTGAGCTTGACCCTGGTGGTGGTGAATGGATAGTTGGGTTCGGTCTGAAGGGGAGGGGCTTAGCTTGACCCTGGTGGTGGTGAATGGATAGTTGGGGTCGGTCTGAAGGGGAGTGGCTTAGCTTGACCCTGGTGGTGGTGAATGGATAGTTGGGTTCGGTATGAAGGGGAGGGGCTTAACTTGACCCTGGTGGTGGTGAATGGATAGTTGGGGTCGGTCTGAAGGGGAGGGGCTTAGCTTGACCCTGGTGGTGGTGAATGGATAGTTGGGGTCGGTCTGAAGGGGAGGGGCTTAGCTTGACCCTGGTGGTGGTGAATGGATAGTTGGGTTCGGTCTGAAGGGGAGGGGCTTAGCTTGACCCTGGTGGTGGTGAATGGATAGTTGGGTTCGGTCTGAAGGGGAGGGGCTTAGCTTGACCCTTTCATATGTCTGTTATTCACCTCATGTTGATGGTTAATAATAACTCTCGATGCAAGAAGGGTAGACAAAGGTCCACAGTGTTAAAATGTATAAAAACAAGTTAACATAGAGACTCATATAACCTGTCAGTGTGCTGTTTAGCTAGCGAACATTAGGGACCTTTAGCTATCTATTGCACAAGCTAACATTAGTTGAGTACTTAACAATCTAGTTAGCTCACGTTAGCTTTCTTATTTACAAGCAAGCTAACATTTACTATCTATCTAACCAATTACCTAGCTTACTGTATGTAATATCTATCTATATAATATCTCTCTCTATCGAACAACTAGCATTAGCTGTAAACTTAACAATCTAGTTAGCTCACGTTAGCTTTCTAATTTACAAGCTAGCTAACGTTTACTATCTATCTAACCAATTAGCTAGCTTATGTTAGCTACCTATCTAAGAAGCTAGCTAATGAATATGGCTAAATTGCTGGCTGTCATAATTAACAATCTAGTTAACATGAGTTTGCTAATTTACAAGTTAGCTAAGGTTTACTATCTATCTAACCAATTACCTATCTTATGTACAATCTATCTATATAATCTCTCTCTCTATCTAACAAGCTAGCTACTGAATATGGCAACATTTGTGGCTCTCATTGTTTGAATTGGATTTATTATTTAACCCCCTATATGGTTAAACTTGCAGTAATAATAATAATAATAGCTTGATTTTATATAGCGCCTTTCAAGGGACCCAAGGTCGCTTTACAACTAATATAGGAAAAACAAACATAACAAAACAAAAGTCAGACAGACAAAACAACAGATCGATTAGGGGCCGAAAGCCTTGGCAAACAGATGGGACTTGAGGGCCCTTTTGAAGGCGTCGAGTGTGGGGATGTTGCGAATCTCCACAGGGAGAGCGTTCCAGAGGGTGAGGTCTGCCACACTGTAGGCTCTGTCCCCGAAGGTTCGCAGTTTAGTGCGGGGGGTGGTAAGCAGGCCAGAGTCTGAGGACCGCAGGTTCCGGGGTGGGGCATGTGGGTGAAGGAGGTCCGATAGGTACTGGGGGGCAAGGGCATGGAGGGACTTGTAGGTAAGGAGAGTACGGACCTGTGTCTATGTTCAGGCAGTGAGAGTAATTATAAAAACATGTTGATGTGTTTTTCTTTAAGCTAAGCGTCTGCTCTCATACAGCGTATACAACATAAAGTCCCAAATCTGCCATATTTGGATAAACTAATCACATATTGGTAATCTAAATGGTTTGTTTCTCACCTTAAATAGTGTTATAACTCAATAACAGTGCATTCAAAAGCTTAAAAGCTGTTGCAAGAAAAGGTTGATAAAGCTGGCAATGCTATGCAAAGGAATAGCAATTATGCTCTAACTGGAAATAACAACACAAAATACGACAGTCACCTTAGCAGAGGTGGTTACAGCACATACCAGTTTGTTTCCACATTTAATTAATATACAGATACATGAAAATGTAGTTATTATCAACTCTAACACATTTACATTAATTCCCTTGGCACACACGTCTTCAAAGCATGTGAAAATCATCCTTCAGTCCAGTTCATTTGCTTCTTATTATTTGTTCTCTTACATGTAGAATACACTCTGTACATCTTTATGTGTTATCAGCGCTTCCTGCTGTTTTCGCTCAGTATCTGTAATCAGATTATGATGTAAATATTAGTTGATATTAGCATATCACAGATTACAGTCATTGCATTATGTGTTGAGTGATGTGAATGAAACAGATCTCAGAGTATATTTATGAATATTGTATTAAAAAAGTAATTAAGCTGAATAATGGTGTCTCATAAAAGAGCACCAGGGAACAATCGGAGGGATTCTGCCTATTTAAAATAGATGATACTTTCCCCCTGCTCTCTTTAGTGTAAATTGGTTTCCTGAGGGCTATAAAGCGACCATTATATTTATCCTTATTATACAGAGTCTCTGAAAGCCATTGTCCTCGTTCATACGTCTCAAAGTTAATCTGAATGTTAAAGAAAATGCCTCACAGGTCGATCTCACTAATCCATACCAGATACTTAGTATTTCTTGTTTATAAAACATACTTATTATCATAGCGACTTCTTCGTGTCACGGAGCAACATCCGCGCATTTCGCATTAATTGCTGACGTGCAGATGGGCGTGAATTGGGCTAAAATCGGTCCAGGCATCGGTGCATCCCTACTGTTTATCCCTAACAGGTGATCATACAAAACGTGAAACATCTGATGTAAATCAACCCCCACCGCTAAGCTAAAGGTGGCTAATGTTGGGCTATATAGGAACTACAGCACGGTCACATGACTTCACGTCACCACCGCTAAGCTAAAGGTGGCTAATGTTGGGCTATATAGGAACTTCAGCACGGTCACATGACTTCACGTCACCACCGCTAAGCTAAAGGTGGCTAATGTTGGGCTATATAGGAACTACAGCACGGTCACATGACTTCACGTCACCACCGCTAAGCTAAAGGTAGCTAATGTTGGGCTATAAAGGAACTACAGCACGGTCACATGACTTCACGTCACCACCGCTAAGCTAAAGGCGGCTAATGTTGGGCTATAAAGCAGGGCTGCCAACATTTGAGTTCAGCTTGGAGTGAGATTGTTTTTTTTTGGTGAACCGAAAAAAGAAACGTCCATGTGTACAGTGTTACAAATGTATTGAACAAGTACAAACTAGGGTTTCCCATTAATGTACCGGGCGCTACAGTGGAGTACGCACATACACAGTGTACCCGCGACTCTTACAATGAAGGCTCGATAATCAGCTCACAGCATATAAAATGGCATATAGGTGTAAGCAGGGGTAAAGTGCTATTTTATAAGTGGGGGTTGTCCTCACCTCCTCTAGGGGGGTCCGGGGGCATGCTCCCCCGGGAAGATTTTTTTTTTAAATATTGAAGTTAAATGCATCAATCTGGTGCACTTTGAGAGCAAAATGAATTTAAGGATACATCTCTCAACACCCATATGAAACACAACTAATATCTTATAATATATTCTCCTTACCTTCTCTTATTCTTCTCATCCTCCTTCTCCTTCGTCTTTGCTCAGACCCCCCGGTATACCCTCGTTACATCCAATCAGTGTGCAAATACCGTACAGCCAATCACAATGCGTGACGCTGTCCAGGTTGCTAGGCGGCAGTGCTACGGACCGCGGGTGTCAGGTGACGCAAACAGGAAGTCCTCCGTAAGCCTGACCGTTTCATTTCGTAGACCGCTTGGTTTGCTGTTCCTTCACTTTATTTTTATATTTATATACATTTGTTGTGAACGAAAACTTAGCGTGAGGAAAGGCTTGTGTGGCGTGAGTGCGTGAGATATGTGTTAATTGCGTGACTCTCACGCTCAATGCGTGAGTGTTGGCAGCCCTGTATAAAGGAACTACAGCACGGTCACATGACTTCACGTCACCACCGCTAAGCTAAAGGTGGCTAATGTTGGGCTATATAGGAACTACAGCACGGTCACATGACTTCACATCATCATCGCTAAGCTAAAGGTGGCTAATGTTGGGCTATAAAGGAACTACAGCACGGTCACATGACTTCACGTCACCACCGCTAAGCTAAAGGAAGCTAATGTTGGGCTATAAAGGAACTACAGCACGGTCACATGACTTCACGTCACCACCGCTAAGCTAAAGGTGGCTAATGTTGGGCATTATGACGTTTAGCAGTCTCTTCTAGTAGTAGTCTATTTTATGTCATGGAACAAAACGTTAAAGTCTCTTCAGCTTCACTTTATTTCAGGCTAACAACCAAAAACACATCCAGAAACCATTGACTTCCAGACCTGGGAACAGGAAGTGGTAAAATGCTGACTCATATCTGGGTTTAGGACTCATTCCTGCACAATTGTATAGTTTAATGTGTCTGTTCTTGCTGTATGTGTTAGCTTTTCTTTCTTTAAAGTGCATTTTTATGAAATAGGGTAACTTAAATTGACTTCATCTCAAGTAGAACGTTTAATATAGCTGGGTATAAAATAACTGTTGTTAATAACTCTACTTTTTTGGATATGTACCAATGATGAAGCACCTCTGAAGTTGTTATTTATCCACATAATGATCCTTTAGCTACACAGTATTTCATGTAGTTCTTTTTCCTTTAAAATCCAAGCAACACATCCAAATATTTAACCCGTGTGATAACTTAAGAGAGCAGCCGATTCATTTCAACAACTGGTGCTGTTATACAATCTGTTCATATTTTAGGGTCAGTGAGCAGGTGAATTATTGATTATCTCATAGTTCCTCAGAATGTAGAAGGTCACGCCACGAGCCGTCCTCCTCAGCTTCACCCTGAAGGGACTCAATGGATGACCCTCTGTACAGGAGGGTCAGAAACAGCCGGGGATTGTGGGTAATGGAGAGGCTTTGCTGGCAGCGTTTATGGAGGAAAGTTAATCAAAGACCAGCCAGTTTTGAATGATGCAGGAGATGAGAGGGGCAAAGAGCAAGCAATTCAATCTGATCAGAGATGGGAAGTATTGGAGTACAAATACCTCGTTACTGTACTTCAGTACAAATTTTTAAAAATCTGAATGTACTCTTCCAATATGAGAGTAACATGATAACAAAGGACTGTGTGTGTGTGTGTGTGTGTGTGTGTGTGTGTGTGTGTGTGTGTGTGTGTGTGTGTGTGTGTGTGTGTGTGTGTGTGTGTGTGTGTGTGTGTGTGTGTGTGTGTGTGTGTGTGTGTGCAGAAAGAGCCTCTGGACGAGTCGGGCTGGACCATTAAGAACGTCTTGTCTCTGCCCATCGTCAACAAGAAAGAGGAGATAGTGGGCGTGGCAACGTTCTATAACCGGAAAGATGGGAAACCCTTTGATGAGCAGGATGAAACACTGATGGAGGTGCGTGTGTGTGAGTGTGTGTGTGAGTCACTGGTTTATAAATACACTGGGTCCATTCAGAGCGTCTGCATTATTTATCTCTGCGCCCCGAGGCTTTCTGCTCAAGTCTCTCAGCTCAGGATTAAAACACACAACACGACAGTTTCAAATGTTCCCCGAAAAACAGAGGAACGATTTTTTATCTTGGCAATAAAATATAACCAGGGTTTTAATTTTAGGAAAGAAAAACCCAAGATATTTAGGATCAGAAATGATTTTATTTATAGGAAAACCTGCCTTTCATGAAGCAGATTCACGCAGCAACACTGAAACACATGAGCACACACTACAGTTTAAAAAAGCAGAAATAAAATCTGAGCTGACATGAAATGCTCCGTTTTAGTTTAATACACACAGTTAAGCTCACACACACTATTTGATGAACATATAGGTTCACCTGCTGAATTAATAACAGAACAGATGAAGCAAAGAAAGTGGGAGTAGACGTATAGATTCACACTTAAAGGGGACCTATCATGCAAAATGCACCTTTGTACGTCTTTTCTACATGAATATGTGTCCCCGGTGTTCCAGGGAACTCACCAAGTGTCAGAAAACACAACCCTCTCTATTTTCCTCCATACCCAAATCTCTAAAAAAGGGGCTGCAACGGATCTGATAAAAACTGATCCAGATTTGAACACTGTCCTGACGTCAGGACGGTGGCGCTACGGCTATTGGGCCAACTCCACCAATCAGGAGGAGACAGCCACGGCCATTGCCGTTCGAAAGCGCTGGAGACGCTGTAGTACATATGCCAGGCCTGTAGGTGGTGCTGTTCTCACTGAATCAGCCCTTGCAAAAACAGAGCTAACATTTTTCAAATTGAGCAAAATGAGGCATGGCTAAAATGCATGATCTGTTTGGTATTTTGAAAAAAAAAAAGTATAAATATGCCTTATATAGGTATGGTCCTACAATATGTTATTATAATATAGCATGATAGGTCCACTTTAAAGTGTTATCCTACAGAACAGAACAGCTTACAGAGAAGAGAAAACATCTGATTATTTTACAACAAACACAATATGATCTTTTTAGGGTTTTAATAATCCTGCTAATTATCCCCATATGTTTAAATGTAATCTGACTACTTCTCCTGTAATGTCCCCAGTCTCTGACTCAGTTCCTGGGCTGGTCGGTGCTGAACACCGATACGTACGACAAACTGAACAAGCTGGAGAACAGGAAGGACATCTTCCAGGACATGGTGCTGTACCACGTCAAGTGCCGCAAGGACGAGATCCAACACGTCCTGGTCAGTAAATAAATACATCAATACGTAAATAATAAATGAATGCTTCCACCAAACCTTCTCCTGCAGGGAGACTCAAACACACTCAAATAATAGGATGGTTTTAAGTAGATTGGGCATAAAATATAGTTTTTAATTGTTGTTATGTTGAAATGTAATTCAAATTAAAGATTTCTATGTGCAACTAGTGCTTTATTTTATTACATTTTATATACCATTTTTAAATATTAGCGGTTCCTTTAATACTCTATATAGGCAATACAAATACTGCACATTTTCGTTACTTCTTGGTGGTCTACTTGTTTGTTTTTGTTTATTTGTTTGTATATATTTTAATAACTTCCCTTTTTGATTTTATATATAACTTTGCTCTTTCTCCTTTGCCTTTTATATTGCACTGTACCAGCCAGAGGTTGCGCTTGACTTTTTCGCTGCCCGTCATTTTGACGGAGAGGATCGTAAAATCCAGTATTACCCGTCGGCCTTCACACAACTCTGACGAGGGGGGGGGGAGAGAGAGAGCACGCTCGTGAACTGTCAACGGGGGTGGGGGGGGGGGGGCGCACGCTCATGAACTGTTAGCGCCGTGTTATGCATGCCCACTGCACCTCGCGGGAGCGCGCACAGCGTAAAGCCAAAACTCACAGACATGTCAATGATTTGTTCGGCAAAGTTAGGTTTGGAAACGATATAATTTCCTTTTTGGAGGGCATGCATAACACGGCATAACACCGGAGCCTCGCTGCGGGGAAACGTTGGCGCTGTTCCGAGTTTGTTCTAATCTGTCAAAATGACGGACTGCTTTCAGATTTTTCCGTCATTGTTAAAAAAACGGAAAATATTCGGTTAACGCGACCTCTGGTATACCAGCTGCTGTAGCGCCGTACATTTCCTAATTCTGAAATAAGGATCACCAGGTTTTTGATTTTAAATAAAAAAACGAACAGAAAAGAAACCCCTGCTTTATCCAGAGATAAGACAGAAGAACAGCCTTCTGTTCCAGGTGTCGCTTGATATGATACAAACAGGAGATGAGCTTCATTTATAAAGTGAAATAAGCTGTCAGATTTTCTAAAGGGTGATTCGTCACCGGAGAGGAAGAGACAGAGAGGGACGACCTTCTGTGACCTCAGATCAGCTGATTGATGCCAAACCATTTCATCCAAGGTCATATTGCTGTGTTTCTGCAGAACACCAGAGAGAGATGGGCGAAGGAACCGGACCAGTGTCAGGAGGAGGAGCTGCAGGAGATCCTGGTAAACAACAACAAACACTGAGATCCTGGTAAACAATAAACACTGAGACCCTAAACAACAATAAACACTGAGATCCTGGTAAACAACAAACAGGGAAGAGGTTTGATGTTAAACCCTACAAAGGGTTCATGAATTAAAATAGCAAGCATTGAAGTAAAAAGGCTATAAAGGAACTACAGCACGGTCACATGACTTTACGTCTCCACCGCTAAGCTAAAGGTGGCTAATGCTGGGCTATAAAGGAACTACAGCACGGTCACATGACTTCACGTCACCACCGCTAAGCTAAAGGTGGCTAATGCTGGGCTATAAAGGAACTACAGCACCGTCACATGACTTCACGTCACCACCGCTAAGCTAAAGGTGGCTAATGTTGGGCTATAAAGGAACTACAGCACCGTCACATGACTTCACGTCACCACCGCTAAGCTAAAGGTGGCTAATGCTGGGCTATAAAGAAACTACAGCACGGTCACATGACTTCACGTCACCACCGCTAAGCTAAAGGTGGCTAATGTTGGGCTATAAAGGAACTACAGCACGGTCACATGACTTCACGTCACCACCGCTAAGCTAAAGGTGGTTAATGCTGGGCTATAAAGAAACTACAGCACGGTCACATGACTTCACGTCACCACCGCTAAGCTAAAGGTGGCTAATGTTGGGCTATAAAGGAACTACAGCACGGTCACATGACTTCACTTCACCACCGCTAAGCTAAAGGCTGCTAATGTTGGGCGTGATGGCGTTTAGTCGTCTCACTTAGACACTTGTTAGCAACCACCGTTTTTTTAGTCCACCAGTGGGGTATTTACTGACGTATTTTAAGTCGTGGAATACAAATCTCTTCAGCTTGTGTTACCCACAGGCCTTATTTCAGGATAACAACCAAAAACACATTCAGAAAACCATTGACCTCCAGACCAGGGGACAGGAAGTGCTACAATGTCAGGATTTAGGACTCATTCCTGCACCACTCTAACAGTTCCAGACAGATCATAGTCCAAACAATTAAATCCACAAAAACTCTTTCCAGGTATACTCAAATAAACTCTCAAACATAATCAATTATCCACAGTACTCTCCGTTAGATCAGGATAACGGCCTACTTTTCAGGTTCTCACGGGTCTCATGCTCTAATATTCATTTCTATATTTCTCTCTGTCGGCAGTCGGAGGTCCTGCCTGACTCTAAGAAGGTGGAGCTGTTTGAGTTCCACTTCTACGATTATCACCACACTGAACTGGAGCTGGTGAAGTGTGGAATCAAGATGTACTACGAACTCAAAGTGGTGGACAAGTTCCACATTCCCAGAGAGGTGAGTGCATGTTTTATTTGTCGCTTTAGGTTCATTTTTGCACAATTAAACTCTGTGATGAACCTATTTAAGGGTTGCAATGACAAACGAGTTATCATTTATGAAGTTGGAAGCTCCTTTCAGACATTTTGCAACCATTATGGGATGAAATTGGAGCTGGGACACAAGGAGGAGATCTTTGAACTGATGTCAGACACTGAGGATTTATTGGAGGTGACGGCAGGAGCAACTAACTCTGATTTTTTTTCCTCAATATTTAAGTTTTACTAGGAGAATAATCAACATTTTACGACAAGATACTGCTTTCTGACTCTCTGCGTCCAATCTGTCCTGTTATTATCCCAGGAAAATATGGTTTTATGGCTGTTTTTTCGGAAAAGCAGTCACCTATCTGGGTTAGGGTTAGGTTAGGTTAGGGTTAGGGTTAGGGTTAGGTTAGGTTAGGGTTAGGGTTAGGGTTAGGTTAGGGTTAGGTTAGGGTTAGGTTAGGGTTAGGGGTTAGGGTTAGGTTAGGGTTAGGTTAGGTTAGGTTAGGTTAGGGTTAGGGTTAGGTTAGGGTTAGGTTAGGGTTAGGGTTAGGGTTAGGGTTAGGGTTAGGTTAGGGTTAGGGTTAGGTTAGGGTTAGGGTTAGGGTTAGGTTAGGGTTAGGGTTAGGGTTAGGTTAGGGTTAGGTTAGGGTTAGGTTAGGGTTAGGTTAAGTGCAAGGGATCGGCCTAGGGAACGCCGGCTTTTCCAACTCAAAAGGCCTGATTTTCCACTAGTCATTCTGGCCTCTCCAAACATTTTTGGAAAGTTGGTTATTTCCCATTCACGTCTGGGGAATTTTCGTAAGATGGGGGGATTTTGGAACATGGTTAGGTCCGGGCAACTTGCGATTATTAAAACGTTTAAAATTCCACATGGTGGTGCTATTCAGATCATTTTGAATTCATCAATATGTACCAGTTAAAATTACGGATTTGAATTATGGGTCAGGGTTAGGGTTAGGGTTAGGGTTAGGGTCATATCTGCTGTGGTTGAAGACTCAACACAACGAAAGGGCCTGCCTCTTCACACCAGGAGTTACGTCTCTCACAAGGCTATAAACTCTCAAATATAATTTAAACTGAGTACAGGGTGGAATAAATAATTGCCTATCACATTAAACGGATAGTTGGAGCCATACAAACAGTAGATTTATGGGTTTTTCAAACTGCATGTTCTTAAAGGTGAGCTCTGTTATCTTTAGCCCTTGGGTAAGAGTTGAACCTGGAAAAATGTAGCCCCTTCTCACACATTGTTAACCCAGGGCCATGAGATGCACACTGCCCTTCTTATTGCCCTAAAAATGTGTTTAATGTCTTATAAACGTGATGCACATTCAACAACAGATTTCAGCCCAGTGTTGGGTTTATTTTCAGGGGATTTAGCCTCGGTCTCAGCCTCATCATCTGCTGTAATATTTTCCAGGTTTTTGCCGGTTTGAAAGCTCCCTTAGCTCTTTTAGCCTGGGGGTAGTCTTTATAAAGCAATGAGTTAGCATCGCAGGCTAACTCAACTATTCTGTGTGTGTTGCAAAGCTTCATAGAGAGGGCCTTCAGCCTCCAGCACTAATGAGCAAAACAAGGCTATAAGGGAAGGAGCCTTCACAGCTTTTATTGTTACACATATTTATTTATTTATCATTACAGTATACAGTATTTATTTTACTTTCAGTGTTTTTTCTTCAAGTCTGAGTACTTATATGCATTTTACTAGTATAGTTGTATCACTATTGCTGTATTTGACATCACTTCCATGTTTCTTTATGTTTTGGGTATATTGCATGTTGGCAGGAAGGACTTCAGATGTTCATTTCCAGCTTTTAAGCTTAATTTAATGTGAACATGACAAATAAGACATTTTAATCTTGAGTCTAGCAAGCCACGAACGTAAGCTACCCACTTAACAAGCTAGGGAAAGTTAGCTTTTTATTGTACATTACATTACATATCATTTAGCTGACGTTTTTGTCCTAAGTGACAACAATCATACAGATTAAAACTCTGAACAACAAGGAAAGTGCAGATATATTCACTTCAAGCTAGATCATTTTTTTTCACAAATTAAATTTTTTTAATTTTAATTTTTTTTCTTTGAATGGAATGAATACCTAAGGTGATAATTCAATGTAATACATCATTTTTATAGTCTGGTACCTGAAAAAGGTCAAATGGCACTGATGGAACCAGATGTACCCAAATGTGCCGAAAGCTTATTCCGCCTGGAACTTTTTTTTGCTAAACCTCTCTAAAAAGGTCAAATTTAACTTGTTTTGCCTCAATCTTGATACAGGGTACTTATTATATGTTATAGTTTGAATTCCTAAAGCTTTTAGTCTACCATCCCATCATTCAAGGGTGGTTTTCACTATAAGTAATGTTTTTTCTTTAGGCGGAGGTAAGAATTTACCTTTTTTTACTATGTTCCATCTGAATTTACTCTGACTGAGAAACATCTATATTGATTCTGACACTTCTACATCCAACTCACAGGTGTAACCTTGCTTTGATAAAAGAAATTATTCATATAACCCTTTTAGAAGTGAAGTTGTAGTCATTTGTTCTGGGCATGTCATTTTCGAGCCTGAAACCTGAAAATCAGGCTCTGGGCTTAACAGGTTAATAACTGCTGGTGAATTAGTTACAAGGCCTAAATTAACATTAACATTAACATTGTACAACCTAGCTATGTTGCTTTCTCCCTATTTAGCAAGGTTAGATTAGCTACCCATCTATTAATCGCCAATCATTGAAGGCTTAAAACGGTTTCTTTGGTAAGTAAAGGTTGATAAAGCTGGCGACACTAAGTAATAGCAATAATGGTCTCACCAGAAGTTCCAACAAATGATCAGAAGCTTGAATAATTAAGTGTTTTTGAACAACAGTACACTCAAAATGATTACGTGCGAGAACTAACAACTGCAGAATAATAACCAGAAAACCAAATCACAATACAATTAGTCTGGAAGTCAATCCAACAACCTGAGGACACAAAAGGAATACAAATTAAGCTTGATCTTGTTTTCATACGTATTCTGTTAATAAAATAATTGATATCCAGTATCTTCAGTATTCTAGGGATACAGTTAGTGAAGTGAGTGTTATTGGTGTGGCATTGCTGAAAAACTATACATCTTTTTCTCATATTAACACATTAAAAGCATAAATCTGTGTGTGTTTGCAGGCGCTGGTGAGGTTCATCTACTCTCTGAGTAAAGGCTACAGGAAGATCACCTACCATAACTGGAGACACGGATTCAACGTGGGACAGACCATGTTCACCCTGCTGATGGTGAGACAGATCAGTCACTACCTCACACTACAAAAACCCTTCAGAAGTAACACTGCAGTGAGATATCAGGTCTTGTTTTTAGACAATGCATCATCTTGTATCTCAGATATTATAACACAACATTTCCTGATTCTGGTCAAATATAGTTTTCCAGCTAATTACAAGATCTGATTTATCTAAATATCATAACATCCTTACATCCTTACATCCTTACATCCAAACATCCTAACATCCTTATATCCTAACATCCTTACATCCTTACACCCTTACATCCTTACATCCTTCTCCCTAAACCCTCATCAATCCTCACATCCGACACATTCACAACCGACACCTCTTCCTCCTCTCTAATTCAAAGTGATAAACCCTCCTCTTTCCTTCCTCCCTCTGTAATGAGATAATGAAATGTGTCTGTGAAAGAGAAGTGAGTCAGTGTTGCTTGTAACTGGTCATCAATAAGGAAAGCAGTGATTATGATTTTAATATCAGAAGCAGAGATTTGTCCAACAGCGTGGAAATATACGTTGTTATCAGCAAATGAAACAGTGCAGATATAAGGCAAAATAAAGTGAGCGTATTCATTTTCACCGCCATGCCACGGCTAGGGCGTTCGATGTAGAGTAAAGATTTTGTTAGCTTTTGATCTTCAAGGTCTTTAGATGGTACTGACCAATTTTAAAGTTGATCCGATGAAAACTGTTGGAGGAGTTTGTTCAAATATGGCACGTGGAAAGTGCAAAATATGGCCAAATATTGCATATTTTGTTGTATTAGTGAATTTATTGAACATGTTAGAAACAAAACAAACAATAGTTATGATTCTAATAATAATTATAACAAAAAGAAGCAAAATAAAAAAAAATTTCAATGTATAAAAAAATGTATTAAAACAAATCTCAAATGTTTATGTTGTTGTTGTCAGACGGGCGATCTGAAGCGGTACTTCACAGATCTGGAGTGTATGGCCATGGTGACGGCCGGCCTCTGCCACGACATCGACCACCGAGGAACCAACAACCTCTACCAGATGAAGTGAGGGGGGGGGGGGGGGTTTATTGTTATACAAAGCTCACTGGTCCCCGGCTTCATCTTTAATATCAGGATGTACTTATAATCCTCTCAAGAATATAAGTACCATCAATAAGAAACAATTCTGACTTTTTTCTAAAAATCTAAAAATCCAGAATTTTTCTCAAAATTCAGACTTTTTCTCAAAATCTCAAAATTCAGACTTTTTCTCAAAATTCAGACTTTTTCTCAAAATTCAGACTTTTTTTCAAAATTCAGACTTTTTTTCAAAATTCAGACTTTTTCTCAAAATCTCAAAATTCAGACTTTTTCTCAAAATTCAGACTTTTTCTCAAAATCTCAAAATTCAGACTTTTTCTCAAAATCTCTAAATTCAGACTTTTTCTGAATATTTTTCATAATCATTCGTTCCCGGCTTGATCTTTGTTATCATGTTACTCTCATATTGGAAGAGAACATTCACTATTTTCCCAACATTTATCACCAGAGACTTCAAGCTACAGAATCAGACATCTTTTACCCGTCCCACTGCGGAGAAATTAACATTTGCAAAAGGAACGGTTCAGATAAAACACACAAAAATTACTCGACTTAAATAAAGCACATTTGAATAACATCAAATCAAGTGCACATCCAAAATAAACAAGTCAGTACCAGCAGTATCAAAGTAAGATAACACAGAAAGGTATTGAATCAGAAGGCAGTGATAACATGAATGAATTGATTCTCAGTCTCAGGTATTGAAGTTGTGTATCCGTCTGATAACTGATTTATTTCAACAGTAGATTTAGATTATTTTATTTAGCAGTCAAATCGATGTTTGTTTTTAAACCATGTCATCAAATATTTGATTTCAAGACACTTTATTATTTATTTAAAACATTGCTTCTTGCTTTTCTTTTTCAAGCCGACCGCCTGTGGTAATGTGGAAAGCTCGTTAGCAGGCGGAGCATAATGTGAATACGTTAATCAACAACAACAACCTCACTAGACAGCTACTATAAATAACAACATGATGCTTTTATAGATTTGTTTTCCCTCCTTTGACAAATAAAACCTTTGAATCTGGAGTCTAGCTAGCACAACACAACAAACGTAAGCTACCCACTTAACAAGCAAGGGAAGGTTAGCTTTTTATTGTACATTACGTTACGTTACGTTACATTACGTTACATTACGTTACATTACGTTACATTTACCATAAACCATAAAGATTCAAACTCAAAACAACAAGGACATTGCAGATATGTTCACTTTAAGCTAGATATTAAATACATGCTTTTATTGATTTGTTTTCGCCCTGCTTTGACCCAGTTTCTTGGACAGTTTTGGTTATATTCTTGGATAGCGTTTAATGGCCTCCAGCTGACAGCAGCCCCTTCCTCCTGACCTCAGATCAGTGTGTGGAGGTAACGTCGCTCACTAAGAACATCAAGGAGCAGATTCCAGATCCTCCTTCTGATGGATGAGATAATGAGAGCCAGGCCCTCCAACATGCAAGATGTATCACAGTGTGACCTCCCCATTGTGTGTGTGTTGGTGTGTGTGTGTGTGTGTGTGTGTGTGTGTGTGTGTGTGTGTGGTGTGTTGTGTGTGTGTGTGTGTGTGTGTGTGTGGTGATGTGTGTGTGTGTGTGTGTGTGTGTGTGTGTGTGTGTGTGTGTGTGTGTGTGTGTGTGTGTGTGTGTGTGTGTGTGTGTGTGTGTGTGTGTGTGTGTGTGTGTGTGTGTCAGGTCTGGTAATCCCCTGGCGAAGCTTCACGGCTCCTCCATCTTGGAAAGACACCACCTGGAGTTTGGAAAGACTCTGCTGAGAGATGAAGTACGCTGCGATTAAATTCAATTATAAGGTTTTATCATCGTATGCTCGGTAGCTAGAGTGTAGATATGGCAATGAACATATTAAGTCCAAGGCTCCTGCAACAATGCAACACACATACACATGACATAAAACAATGAAAATATAAAAAATAGTGCAAGTAGAAATGAAATAGTGCAAGACTGATGTGCCTGAAGGCCCTGACACACCAGGCAGTCACCAGACAACTCGCCGACGCCGACTGTTGCGTCGCCGTGTTGTCCTGCGTCTTGGCCATGTGTCGCACTGGAGGCAACAACCGGAAGACAGAGAAGAAGAACAGACTGTGATATAAACAAACAACAAATAGCGTGTGCATTCCATTTTCACTCTCGTCCATCGAAAACATGTTTGGTGCGGTACTGGAGCTATCAGCCATTGGAGTGTTGCTTGTGGAAGACATTCTCAAGCAACCGTTTCGCTTCTCATGCACTGATTCGCTAGCTGAACAGCCAATCAGAGTGATTTCTTTGTCCGACTGCCTGTGGCCGACGCACGGCCGATTCAACATGTTGAATCGGCCGTGCGTCGGCCATGAAAGGCCAAATAAGGCGTGTCACGGCCGACGGTTCGGGACACACCAAATTGAGTTTGGGCGACAGCGCACGCTTCGTCGTCCGACTAACGAAAACGGACGATTTCGGCCTGGTGTGTCAGGGGCTTAAGTAATGCAGGAGATGTTAACTATTGTAAAATAGAATAAGATGCACACTCATGCATAAAGACAGGACACATTAATACTTTAAAGCAATGCACTAAATACAGTCCAGTACAGAATGGCATATCCCATACGTTTTGAAAATCGTCACACAGTTCAGAAACATGTTTTTAGCTTTCTGTACTTCGTCAATTCACAATTAATCAATCAATCAAAGTGTATTTATAAAGCCCAATATCACACATGTTACACTTGTTTAAGAGGCCTTTACAGTTTATAAAGAATACAACACCCTCTGTCCTTAGACCCTCACATTAAAACTCCCAAAGAAACCCCTCAGTTAATGTGGAATAAGCGGAAGAAACCTCACCATTTATTTTTTATACTTTTATTGTCATTACACAGTAGGGCTACTTACTATGTAACAAAATGGTTTCTCTGCATTTGACCCATCCTAGTGTTACTGTAGGAGCAGTGGGCTGCCATTATGAATAGCGCCCGGGGCACTCTTTCTTTTTCACGTTAATCAAGGCCTGTTTGAGACTTCTCTTGCCTTCCTCTCATAAGATAAGAGAAGATATACTTTATTGATCCCTATTTGGGAATTGTTTGCGTTGCAGCAGCATGAAAGACAAGGCATTGCACAGAAATGTAGAAATGAAAAGAGTCAAAATAAACAATTCTAAAATGTAAATATCTCAAAATAGAAATAAAACAGCCTTTAGAAAATATGCATGTTGAAATACCGTAAACATAAAGCATGGCAAGGCAAGTTTATTTATACAGCACCTTTCAACACAAGGCAATTCAAAGTGCTTTACAACAATGAAAGACATTAAGTGCATTAACAAACATATTATAAAATGGCATTTAAAAACACTCATTTAAAAGCAAAGATAATAAAACATGAATAACAAAGGAACATGAATTAAAGTTACAGTTAATATACATTGACAAGTGTGTGTACCCCTTACACACTATCCTTTCCTGAGCTACCTGCTATCCTTTTTCCTGTTTCTGATCTTTCTGACCTCCTCTCGTGTTTCAGTCGCTGAACATTTATCAGAATCTGAGCCGCCGGCAGCACGACACGGTGATCCACCTGATGGACATCGCCATCATCGCCACCGACCTGGCGCTCTACTTCAAGTCAGTTCAGCAAAAACATTGACACTGTTTTTTTAAAGGTCACCTATTGTTCACAATACACTTCTTCATGTCTCTTCTACATCAACATGTGTCCCCTCTTCCTCATGTCTCTTCTACATCAACATGTGTCCCCTCTTCTTCATGTCTCTTCTACATCAACATGTGTCCCCTCTTCTTCATGTCTCTTCTACATCAACATGTGTCCCCTCTTCTTCATGTCTCTTCTACATCAACATGTGTCCCCTCTTCTTCATGTCTCTTCTACATCAACATGTGTCACCTCTTCTTCATGTCTCTTCTACATCAACATGTGTCCCCTCTTCTTCATGTCTCTTCTACATCAACATGTGTCCCCTCTTCTTCATGTCTCTTCTATATCAACATGTGTCCCCTCTTCTTCATGTCTCTTCTACATCAACATGTGTCCCCTCTTCTTCATGTCTCTTCTACATCAACATGTGTCCCCTCTTCTTCATGTCTCTTCTACATCAACATGTGTCCCCTCTTCTTCACGTCTCTTCTACATCAACATGTGTCCCCTCTTCTTCATGTCTCTTCTACATCAACATGTGTCCCCTCTTCTTCATGTCTCTTCTACATCAACATGTGTCCACCTCTTCTTCATGTCTCTTCTACATCAACATGTGTCCCCTCTTCTTCATGTCTCTTCTACATCAACATGTGTCCCCTCTTCTTCATGTCTCTTCTACATCAACATGTGTCCCCTCTTCTTCATGTCTTTTCTACATCAACATGTGTCCCCTCTTCTTCATGTCTCTTCTACATCAACATGTGTCCCCTCTTCCTCATGTCTCTTCTACATCAACATGTGTCCCCTCTTCTTCATGTCTCTTCTACATCAACATGTGTCCCCTCTTCTTCATGTCTCTTCTTCATCAACATGTGTCCCCTCTTCTTCATGTCTCTTCTACATCAACATGTGTCCCCTCTTCTTCATGTCTCTTCTACATCAACATGTGTCCCCTCTTCTTCATGTCTCTTCTACATCAACATGTGTCCCCTCTTCTTCATGTCTCTTCTTCATCAACATGTGTCCCCTCTTCTTCATGTCTCTTCTACATCAACATGTGTCCCCTCTTCTTCATGTCTCTTCTACATCAACATGTGTCCCCTCTTCTTCATGTCTCTTCTACATCAACATGTGTCCCCTCTTCTTCATGTCTCTTCTACATCAACATGTGTCCCCTCTTCTTCATGTCTCTTCTACATCAACATGTGTCCCCTCTTCTTCATGTCTCTTCTTCATCAACATGTGTCCCCTCTTCTTCATGTCTCTTCTACATCAACATGTGTCCCCTCTTCTTCATGTCTCTTCTACATCAACATGTGTCCCCTCTTCTTCATGTCTCTTCTTCATCAACATGTGTCCCCTCTTCTTCATGTCTCTTCTTCATCAACATGTGTCCCCTCTGTGGAAAGAGACTCTGAAAGTTTCAGGAACAAAGATTCTCTCTCTTTTTGATCCATTTTTATAAAAACCTGTCTGAAAATGAGCTGATCAGATTTTGGCCACTTGATGATGTCATAATGATGTTTTGTCTTGTGTAACCATTAGCCAATCAGCAACCAAGGTAACCCCCCCCCCCACCTTATCACCTGAATCTCCTCCTAGAGCACCATTGAGTTCTTTGTAACCAAATCTCTCTCAGAGGGGCGTGGGGAGGGGCTCCTTATTTTCATCTAAAGTAACAGACAGAGAATCAGCACTTTGGAAACAGGGCTGAAACAGAGGGGGTTATGGGATGCTGCAATGATCTGTTTGGTGTTTCAGCCAATCAGAGCAGGCTCTGTATATATCTGAGACCTGTGATATATTGATGAAAAACAGGATAATAGGGGACCTTTAATGGTAATACCAAGTGTACCTCTGTCTGTTCAGGCGTTATTCCACTGCTTTAAATGCAAGATATAAGGCGATTTAGGACGGAAAAGTGCCATTAAACTGAGAGGCACATTTAATAGTCCTTTCAAATCTTACATTTTGTAGAATAATTTAAATGACAAGTTGAACACTGACTTTATTACATCCATTACTCTTATTATTCCCCATAAAAAGTGGGTTATCCTGCAAGATACCTCACGTCTAAAGGTCCTTACACACCAAGCCGATTTTCGGCGTTGATAGATGTCTGGCCGTCGATGAGCGTCCTGTCGCCCTACTCAGATTGGGTCCCGCCCCGTTGTGTCTTTTCGGCCGTGCCAACACCTTCCGCCGCCGATTCAACATGTTGAATCGGTAGGCTGTCGGTAAAAGGCCGTCGGCTAAAGAAATCACTCTGATTGGCTGTTCAGCTTAGCGAATCAGTGCATGAGAAGCGAAACGGAAGTGAGGGAGCCAAACAAACTATTAAGAAGGCAAATCTGAGATTTCATTTAACTCCAGCTCTCGACACAGGTTGGGGAAAGCCCCATGAGCTTCTCGCTGTAGAGTGAAAATGGAACGCACACGCTATTTGTTGTTTGTTTATATCACGCAGTCTGTTCTTCTTCTCTCGGTTATCACGCAGTCTGTCTTCCGGTTGTTGCCTCTTTTGAATGACGAATACACACTACCGCCGCCTGCTGGTAAGGACAGTTATTGCCACTCACGCATGCGCAGTTCGTACGTGCTACTTGGCCGTCAGCTGAAGTCTTTGCGGTGTGTTCCAGTGCGACTGTTGGCCAAGACGCAGAGACGTGAGGCGACACAACAGTCGGGTCCGTCGGGACGTGTTCTTTGGTGTCAGATTGGTGTGTAGGGGCCTTTACCATAATCTATAAAGGTCTAACGATTCTCCAAAATTCCCGTTTTCTCAGCCACAGTTTGGTTAATTTTTGGGAAATCATTACAAAAAAATTGGGGAAAAACAAGGCTTTTATTTAGTAAATAAAAAAGGACCCATATAAAATGTCTGACACATGACTTTGTATATGAGTATACTATATACAGTATATAATAATAATAATACTTTTTATTTGTAAGCGCTTTTACAGGTGCTCAAAGTCACTTTACAGAGGTAGTAAAAAAAAAGGACAACAATTAAATATAGTCAAAATCACATTAACATCGAGCAATAAAACCAAAATCACACATTAAAAGCCAGTTTGAAGAGGTGAGTAAACTCAAGGTGAGTTATATAAAGCTCTAACATAATTAGCAGCATGGTTTCAGAATCCCCAAAATAACCCAGAGTGATGAACAGATCAGACGTTGTGTTTTCATCACATTACATTTGTTCATGTTCAGACCCTGATTATCAGAAACATCTCATGAAGATCTGCCCGGCAACAGAGCACCACTGAAGACCTGGAGTCATGTTGCAGAGAAACATAATGTGTTGAGTGTTTGAAGGATACGGTATTAATATAATAACATAAGATTCATGAAAAGTGTTTTTGTTTCCGTGCAGGAAGAGGACGATGTTCCAGAAGATCGTGGACCAGTCTAAGACCTACGAGAACTGGAACGATTGGACCAAGTATATGATGCTGGAGACCACACGCAAAGAGATCGTGATGTAGGCACACACACACTATTGGAGGGTTTAATAACTCATAAATCTATCGATTAGATTTATGATTAGAAAATTATAAAAGTAGGGTAGACATGTGGATATTATCCGGCTGAACAAAACGTGATCCGTCTCTTAAATGTGTCTCAACCACAGACCTTATTTCCAGCTATTTTCCAAAACCCTATGGAGAAATTGCATTGCGTTTTGGTCGAAGGAACCGGAAGGAGTTTACTTCCGGGTTTTAGGACGCGTCACTGCGGTTCTCTATTGGAGGGTTTGATGACTACCTATTTGAGGGTTTGATAACTACCTATTTGAGGGTTTGATAACTACCTATTTGAGGGTTTGATAACTACCTATTTGAGGGTTTGATAACTACCTATTTGAGGGTTTGATGACTACCTATTTGAGGGTTTGATGACTACCTATTTGAGGGTTTGATAACTACCTATTTGAGGGTTTGATAACTACCTATTTGAGGGTTTGATGACTACCTATTTGAGGGTTTGATGACTACCTATTTGAGGGTTTGATGACTACCTATTTGAGGGTTTGATAACTACCTATTTGAGGGTTTGATGACTACCTATTTGAGGGCTTTATATCTTTCTGCTTGAGGGTTGATCACTTTTTGTCAAACGGTTAAATATCTTCCTATTGGAGGGTTTGATACCATTCCCCACTAGTTGGTTTGAATGGCTCTTAGTGTGGCGGACCAACATGGGGTGTACTGATTGGTTTAGAATTGGACCAGAGATAAACACACAGATCTGACTCATGTTGTGTTTCAGGGCCATGATGATGACGGCCTGCGACCTGTCTGCCATCGCCAAACCGTGGGAGATCCAGAGCAAGGTACACGCCTACAGAAAGGCTTTCATATACGATAGGATAACACTTTAACCTGTTAAGCCTGAGAGACCCCGGTACCGGGGTACTGCCGCAACATCTTGCAGGAAACAGTGTCTGAGGGCATGTTCATTTAATAAAACTATGAATGTTTTATATCCATGTAACGGGAAGAAACTCATCTAACTGATAACTTTTTTTTTTTTTTTCAAAAGAAAACCCACAATGCTAACACTGAGCCTCTGAATTAGCAACGAGCGAAAAATGCTAACACCTTACTGCACCGAAAATCACTCACAAAACCTTATTATTTATCTTTTCTCCACATCCAACACATAATTTCAAATCGTGAGGTGACACAGAATCTATTGACACCGACATTACCACTGAATTATACGTATTTGCGACATTATAAGCAAAAACGGACATCAAAACAGGTGACGCTAGGTAGCTAAAAATGCTAACATTTTTACCTTGGCTCTGTAGTCTCTCCAAAGTGGTCTTCAATGGCATTAAAACGATAAAAACGCAGCTGAAGTTAATCCATAGGTTAATCTAATGTGTCTGTGTCCCTTTGAAATGATTTCTGATAATCCATAAGCATTAAAACTGCTTTTCCGTTTCCAGATGTCAAAGCTAGAGATCGGTTCACTCTGATGCAAAATTACATGCGCGAAGCCTTCACCTCTTCTCTTCACAACGTGTGTGTGTGGGGGACTGCCCCTTCGATTCTATTGGCTCTAACGGTCAGAAAGAGGTGTCAACCATCAAAATCGAGCAAGGGGGGCCAGAGATATGGAAAATCCACCCAAATGACCCCAGAAGTGGTTTATTTTTGCTAAATCTCTCTAAAAAGGTCAAATGTCACTTGTTTTGCATCAATCTTGATACAGGGTACTTATTATATGTTGTACTTTGGATTCCTAAAGCTTTTAGTCTACTAACCCATCATCCAAGGGTGGTTTTCACTATAAGTAAAAAAGACTTTTTGGACGGACACTATAATTTACAGTTTATTACTATGTAAAATCTGAATTTTCTTTAAAATAAAAACATCTATATTGATTCTGACTTTTCTACATCCAACTCACAGGTTTATCATTACTTTGAGAACAAAGATTATTAATTTAACCCTTTTAGAAGGGAAGATATGGTCATTTGTTCTGGGAATGGCATTTTCGAGCCTGAGACCTGAAAAACAGGCTCAGGGCTTAACAGGTTAATGGTCAGATCAAGTCTGAAATGCCAACCCAGTCTCACGGCATTTCGTGTTATTAGTCACGAAATTAATTTAATCTATTGATTCGTGTTCACCAACACGATTTTCACCTTTTTTTCGTGTCACACAGAACGATTTGAAATGCAATGTATTTCTATTGGTAGTATGTTTCGTGCCTGCAACACGTCTTTTTGTCCGGTCGGGTCTTGGAAGACCAGAAGCTGTGTGGTTCATAAAAACATGTTCTTACTCAATATCTTACCCTAAGCCTAACCCTATCCCTTTTATTTTAAATTGTATAATGTCTGATTTTTTTTGCCGTCAGTGAGGAAAAGAAATGGCTCAGAGCCTCAGAATACTGACATCTGTATTTTATGTCATCTTTTTTTCCTTCTAATTTGTTAATATTTGGTGCAGGCACGAAACATACTACCAATATAAATACATTGCTTCTAAAATCGTTCTGTGTCAGAATACTGAAATCTGTATTTTTTTAAATGTGTTTTTCCTTCTAATTTGTTATTATTTACATTGCTTTTAAAATCGTTCTGTGTGACACGAAAAAAATGGCGAAATCGTGTTGGTGAACACGAATCAATAGATTAATTTCGTGACTATAACACGAAATGCCGTGAGACTGTGTTGGAAATGCTCCTTGCATCAGCAGGATCAGTGAGAGAAAAGCTGCTCAAAGAGCCTTCAGCGTGCATCTGATCTGGATTCAGCTCTGTGTTTACTGAGAGGACTGACTGGAGCACAAAGGATGCTTCAGTCTGACTTTATTCAATCTCCCATTAGATGGTAGCAGTTCATATCCTCTGTTCAGAGCATGCTTTGGGTCCGGTATATTCACAGCAGCGGGTTTAAAGCGTCTCTCCAGCAGCGCTCTCATCCAGCCGCTCTCAGTAATGAGGCTCACTCCAACAGAGGCTCTGTGAGGGGAGCTGATGACAAAGTAGACCCAGAATGACACTCTGTCAGCGCTGCCATTTCTCCAGCAGTGATTCCTGACGCCTCCATGAATCAAACTCTACACTGGAGAAAATGCTGCTCCAAAAAGAAGTTAAACGTGTTTTCACTTGAAATAAGTACAAAAATCAGCCAATAGAACAAGTGAAAATGTGCTTGGTAAGATTTCTTGGAATAAGAAGGAATATTTAGATAAATCACATCTTGTAATTAGCTGGAGAACTCATTTTGAACTATATTTGACCAGAATCAGGAAATGTTGTGTTTCAGTATAAGACTCTAATGCTCAAAGTGTTCTGCTTTCTGATGCTAGTTGGTGATTTTCCAATTAAAATGTGAAAAAACTACAACTCAAAATAAGATGTTTTGACTCAACAAGATGATACATTGTCTAAAAACAAGACCTGATATCTCACTGCAGTGTTACTTCTGAAGTTAGTAAGTCTTATATCAGGTGTAGAGACATATTCTGACTGGATATTAGACACAGATACTTTGCAAGATTTCAAGTTTTTGTAGTGTACTTGCTGCTTTTCATTCCCCTCGTCACCGCCTGGCAGCCTGAGCATTTTATTTTCAGGTAAATCTGTAATATATACAATCCTGAATATCAATATGAACAGGAAGCATCGCTGGCTGTTGAACAGACGCTGCTGGAGGGTCTTTTATTTCCTTTATTTGTTGGCAATTGACGGGAACATTTGCTCTTTATCAGTTCTGATTCACGTTCTCACACACGGGGTGTCAATAAATCCGCAACACTTCCCTATTGTGGCCAAAAAGGAATTTCAATAGTATGGAAATATCTAATAAAATAATATGATATCAGTCAAGTACATCTTTGACTTTGTTACTAAGGAAGTTACCATTTCTGCTTAATTTGTGTCAGTCAACCCCGTCTCCTCAAAATGATGTTCCCACAGAACTAAACTGCATTCTCAATTAGCTATAAACTCCCACATTACGTTTGTTATGGACGTAACTCAAATATGTTTATTTTCTACATATATTTGCCTTCGAAAAAACGATTTGTTTCTCCGAATCGAAGGGGAAAAACACAAAAGCATTGTACACAATTCAAACCAATCAACTTTGTGTAATTAACAAGGATGATCTGGTGTTTTTGAGTTGATGCAGATATCACTGTCAAATCAATCGACATTAGAGAGAATACTTACTTCCGGGTTTGACATTCTCTAAAGCAACTAGTGTGACAATAAATGACAAATATATGTAGAAAATAAACGTATTTGAGTTACGTCCAAAACAAACGTAACGTGGGGGAAAATACGTTTCTAGCTAGCTGAGAATGCAGTTTAGTTCTGTGGGAACGTAATTTTGAGGAGACAGGGTTGTAGTCGGTGGATTATGTAAAATAATATGGTCAAATCTCATTAAAATTGGTGAAAGAAGGCGGGAATTTAGGGCAAATACATGAATTATACTTCACTTGTTGTGTTATTGCATGATACCTTTCTATTTCTAGATCAGTGGTGTCTGCAAGCATAATTAAAACGACTGTGTCTGTTGGTTCCTACCACGCCTACTGCCTTCCTTTCAGATACAAACAGAACAGAAAGTAGCTCCACTTGGTGACAGTAATTACTGTGAATGAGGAACACTGAACTTTGACAACATCTAATCACCTCTAAACCAAGCTTCACTTGATGGGGGCTTTATTTAAAATAGGGCTCTGACTACTTCAAAAAAACTATTCGATCTTAAGTTTGGTTTGTACAGTTTCAATTGCAGGGTGCAAGACTTTACATATAAATAACATCCACTTTCTGTAGGCCTTGCCTCACAGAAAGAAGGTCATTAAGCCGCCTTTATCCACCGTTTTGCATCTACCCTCAAACTCTTAGATTGTGTGGCCAGCCGTTCACCTCATGCTTCCACATTGTCTTGTTTTGTGTTGACACAGGTCAGCACTGCAGGTTAAAAAATAAATAATGCTAATTAAAATTATGTTAACCACCTATTTGGGCATAGCTACCTAGATAGCAAAAATGTGCTAGGGAACTAGTTAGATAGTTCGATGGGGAGTGGCTCCTTATTTTCATCTAAAGTAACAGACAGAGAATCAGCACTTTGGAAACAGGGCTGAAACAGAGGGGATTATGGGTAATGCTGCAATGATCTGTTTGGTGTCTCAGCCAATCAGAGACAGGCTCTGTATATATCTGAGACCTGTAATATATTGATGAGAAACAGTATGATAGGGGACCTTTAATGACACATCGTACCCCATAATACAGCATATATATTGGATGATTATTTAAAAACAAGTCTTTCAATGTGGCTTGGAGATAGTATCTAGCTTTGAGAACTCCCTCTTACCTGTTACCTGTTTCTGAGCTTGTTTACACGGGCCTACAAAATAGTTTGTGTTCTTATTTTTAAAGTGCAGTGTTTCATTTGGAGACGTTAAAGCTTGTTGGATTTTATTGTGCAGTTACTAAGTTATATTTTTGGACCGATTAGGTGGACAATTGTCAAGGCACAGTGGTTTAAAATCAATGAGATATTCAGCCAATGCTCATTAGCCCGCTTGTTGGATATAAAGCTAACTTTCTCAAGTTAAAAAGCACACTGACAAGTTCCTTGAATTCAGTCTTTAGGTTAACTTTGTACATTTCTACACTGGACTTTTGTCTCCCATCCTGTCAGTGAGAGTTATTATAAGCATCAGCTAAAGTCTCTTAAAGTAGAGGTTTATAGTTGCCCAAAAATGTAAGATGAAGCATCCTTTTCAACGCTTTCTACAGCTATCTATAGTTCATTTCATCTTCTCTGACTTTTGGAATTATTTTGAGGCTTTTCCTCACAAACCTCCCTCACCTCCAGGCTCTTAATGATGACAATATTCAGACGTTACAGATGTTCGTCAGAGGCTGATGGATATATAACAGAACATCATATCAAACTGAAACAAAAATCATTTCCATACTGCCAACACGAGTAACGTTTTGATTAGAAACCAAGTTTTAAAAGACGTTCTGTTTCTCCTCCTGTGTTGCACAATCCCTGCCTAATAGCCTTTAGGTTATTCCACTTTATTTCTGTATGTTCTGGTTGTATTTCAGCCTCTGAGCACCTGTGAGTCAGCTCGGCCTCCCACACTCTGTCAGCACATCTATCTCCAGCGTCTCCTGCGGATTGGGCTCTAAAAGTAGTTTGATGACTAACTCTCCTTTTCAAAGGTGAATTCCTCCCTCAGTGCAGCGCTAACAGAGAAGCTGTCACGTGAAACCCTGCAAACACTTTGGGCCAGAGGTGGAAAGAAGTGGAGTACAAATACTTTGTTACTGTACTTAAGTACATTTTTCTGGTATCAGTACTTTACTCCACTACTTATTGTTCTGACGACTTTTTACTTTGACTTCTTACATTTTGAACACAAATACCTGTACTTTCTACTTCTTACATGTTGAACACAAATACCTGTACTTTCTACTTCTTACATGTTGAACACAATACCTGTACTTTCTACTTCTTACATGTTGAACACAAATACCTGTACTTTCTACTTCTTACATGTTGAACACAAATACCTGTACTTTCTACTTCTTACATGTTGAACACAAATACCTGTACTTTCTACTTCTTACATGTTGAACACAAATACCTGTACTTTCTACTTCTTACATTTGAACACAAATACCTGTACTTTCTACTTCTTACATGTTGAACCCAAATACCTGAACTTTCTACTTCTTACATTTTGAACACAAATACCTGTACTTTCTACTTCTTACATTTCTAACACAAATACCTGTACTTTCTACTTCTTACATTTTGAACACAAATACCTGTACTTTCTACTTCTTACATGTTGAACACAAATACCTGAACTTTCTACTTCTTACATTTCTAACACAAATACCTGTACTTTCAACTTCTTACATTTCTAACACAAATACCTGTACTTTCTACTTCTTACATGTTGAACCCAAATACCTGAACTTTCTACTTCTTACATTTCTAACACAAATACCTGTACTTTCAACTTCTTACATTTTGAACACAAATACCTGTACTTTCTACTTCTTACATGTTGAACACAAATACCTGTACTTTCTACTTCTTACATGTTGAACACAAATACCTGTACTTTCTACTTCTTACATGTTGAACACAAATACCTGAACTTTCTACTTCTTACATTTTGAACCCAAATACCTGAACTTTCTACTTCTTAGATTCTGAACACAAAGACCTGTACTTTCTACTTCTTACATTCTGAACACAAATACCTGTACTTTCTACTTCTTACATGTTGAACACAAATACCTGTACTTTCTACTTCTTACATGTTGAACACAAATACCTGTACTTTCTACTTCTTACATTCTGAACACAAAGACCTGTACTTTCTACTTCTTACATTTTGAACACAAATACCTGTACTTTCTACTTCTTACATGTTGAACACAAATACCTGTACTTTCTACTTCTTACATGTTGAACACAAATACCTGTACTTTCTACTTCTTACATTTTGAACCCAAATACCTGTACTTTCTACTTCTTACATTTTGAACACAAATACCTGTACTTTCTACTTCTTACATTTTGAACCCAAATACCTGAACTTTCTACTTCTTACATTTTGAACACAAATACCTGTACTTTCTACTTCTTACATGTTGAACACAAATACCTGTACTTTCTACTTCTTACATGTTGAACACAAATACCTGTACTTTCTACTTCTTACATGTTGAACACAAATACCTGTACTTTCTACTTCTTACATGTTGAACACAAATACCTGTACTTTCTACTTCTCACATTTTCCAAACAGACTGGTTCCTTTAGTTTGAATGTGTGTTTGGTGGCGTGATCATTATTATTTAGAGTCATTGCGTGCCTATTGATTTGAACACGATCCGTGTATCCATCATTTCCTGGTCTTCTCTAAAGAAGAGGGACCAATGAAAACGTTGTCATGTTGCCGTTGTTCAGCATGGAAACATTCATTAGCTAACAATGACATTATTGTTCTATTAATATAAAGGGAGGTCAGGTACTCTTTAAAACAGCTGCTAGCTATGGGTACTTTTTACTGAAGTACATTTCAAAGCCCATACTTCTGTACTTCTACTTGAGTAAAGGATGTGTGTACTCATGCCATCTCTGCTTTGGGGTGTTATCTTGTGCAGAGATACCAGAATTTAATTTACCCACAGTGTATCTCTGAGTCTCGTATAGCTGCTCTTTGAGATTTAGATTGATAAGATGCTCCGATTCCTACATAAAAATCTTCCAAAGCACAGATAGATTCTCTCAGCGATGATACGCGGCATTCTGTCAGATGTTATGGAACGATGAAAAGCTTCAGCTGCTCGCTTAAAATATGCAGATGACATTTTTATAGCTGATATTTTACTTTTCATTCTGCTTCCCACGCACACTGAATATCTGCTGCAGCTGCCTCGTGGCAATTGTTCCCCAGAACTGGCTTCATGACTAACTCTTTCTGTCCTGAATGCAGAATTCACATATGATTCACCAGATCTCACGCTGCTCCTCTCAGGCTTTCATCTCGTCAAAACACAAAGCCTGAAACTGCCTCGTGAGCTGTGATTATAAGACTCTCTTTTAGGGAACATTGTGAAAGCTTTGTGGGCTGAATTTAACAACAAGGCTTTCTCATTGTTCAAATGACACTCAAATCAGCCCCGTGGTAATAAAGCTCCAACTGAGGCTTTTGAATGTGACAGCATGTTTCTTATAAAGGACAGTAACACCAGAATATAGCACTGACATTATTTAAAAATCCAGAAATCATACAAGCATAAAATGACAGCTGGGAGACAAGGGGACACTAAAGAGTGACGCACACAGCTGGAAGACCAGGGGACACTAAAGAGTGACGCACACAGCTGGGAGACAAGGGGACACTAAAAAGTGACGCACACAGCTGGGAGACCAGGGGACCCTAAAAAGTGACGCACACAGCTGGGAGACAAGGGGACACTAAAAAGAGACGCACACAGCTGGGAGACAAGGGGACACTAAAAAGAGACGCACACAGCTGGGAGACAAGGGGACACTAAAAAGAGACGCACACAGCTGGAAGACAAGGGGACACTAAAAAGTGACGCACACAGCTGGGAGACCAGGGGACACTAAAGAGTGACGCACACAGCTGGGAGACAAGGGGACACTAAAGAGTGACGCACACAGCTGGGAGACAAGGGGACACTAAAAAGTGACGCACACAGCTGGGAGACCAGGGGACACTAAAAAGAGACGCACACAGCTGGGAGACAAGGGGACACTAAAAAGAGACGCACACAGCTGGGAGACCAGGGGACACTAAAGAGTGACGCACACAGCTGGGAGACCAGGGGACACTAAAGAGTGACGCACACAGCTGGCAGACCAGGGGACACTAAAGAGTGACGCACACAGCTGGCAGACCAGGGGACACTAAAGAGTGACGCACATAGCTGGGAGACCAAGGGACACTAAAGAGTGACGCACACAGCTGGGAGACCAGGGGACACTAAAGAGCGACGCACACAGCTGGGAGACTAGGGGACACTAAAGAGTGACGCACACAGCTGGGAGACCAGGGGACACTAAAGAGTGACGCACACAGCTGTGCAAACTGTCTAGAGAGCGTCAATAGAGGTAATTGATGATCAAAGTCAACAAAATGGTTCTAGATTATACATTTTTTTATCGTCTTTTTTTTTTGCACCTACGAGTCAAATGATCTTCCACTGACTCATTAAACTCCTCTGTTCCCCTGTAGGTGGCGCTGTCGGTGGCTGCAGAGTTCTGGGAGCAGGGAGACCTGGAGAGGAGCGTCCTGGAGCAGACCCCCATTGTGAGGAGACCCTAAAACCAGGTTTTATAGAGACACAGAGGGGGAATATAACAAAGTCCTGAAGTACAAATTTGAGTATTTCGATGTTATGCTACTGTGTACTTCTACTCCTCTACATGTATTTAATACCTTTAATTAGCTACCCTGCAGTATACAAAGTCATTCAAACTAGCTGCACCTTTACCAGCTTTGAGAACACTTTAATGATCAATCATTATAAAACATATCATATATATTATTCTGAAATGGACCAATCTGCACAATGACTACTTTTACTGTCGCTACTTTAACTATATTTTGATGAGAATACTTTTCTACTTTCACTTGAGGAACATTTTGAATGCAGGACTTTTACTGTAACAGAGTATTCCTACACTCTGGTACTTCTACTTTTACTCAAGTACAAGATCTGAGTACTTCTACTTTTACTCAAGTACAAGATCTGAGTACTTCTACTTTTACTCAAGTACAAGATCTGAGTACTTCTACTTTTACTCAAGTACAAGATCTGAGTACTTCTACTTTAAAAAAAATCAAAAATCTCAAGTAAAGTACCAGTCCCTCAAAATTGTACTTGAGTAAATGTAGTTAGTTACTTCCCAACTCTGATAGTACCTGTAGTACAGTAGTACAATGCTTGAGTAAATGTACATCTTTAGATTCCAGATGAGTGAGTAAAACTCTTAAAACTTTGAGAGGAGAAACAGAGGATTTGGTAGACAGGAATGATGGTTATTAATCAGACGAGGCTCTCTTCTGTTTGGGATGGAGAGCAGAACAAGAGACAGACTCACGGCTGAAGACAGAATGAAAGGACAGATTCAGTTCCCTGAGCGGAGCTGATGCTCAGGCCATTAAGTGGAGCAGTGAAACAGAGAGACAGTCGCCTCGTGTCCTTCAACATCCCACTCTCTCTCACCTCACAGTTTAATAGCCTCTGTGTCGGCGGGGAGGACATTTCATTTGATCAGTTTGTTTTCTTCTGCTGTGACTCACTGAGAAAACTTTGCAGAGGCTCAAACTATTTTCTCAAATGTAGGTGGGCGATTACAGCCAGCGTGAAGTTCCTTTAAAGCCCAACATTAGCCACCTTTAGCTTAGCGGTAGTGACGTGAAGTCATGTGACCGTACTGTAGTTTCTTTATAGCCCAACATTAGCCACCTTTAGCTTAGCGGTGGTGACGTGAAGTCATGTGACCGTGCTGTAGTTCCTTTATAGCCCAACATTAGCCACCTTTAGCTTAGCGGTGGTGACGTGAAGTCATGTAACCGTGCTGTAGTTTCTTTATAGCCCAACATTAGCCACCTTTAGCTTAGTGGCGGTGACGTGAAGTCATGTAACCGTGCTGTAGTTTCTTTATAGCCCAACATTAGCCACCTTTAGCTTAGCGGCGGTGACGTGAAGTCATGTGACCGTGCTGTAGTTTCTTTATAGCCCAACATTAGCCACCTTTAGCTTAGCGGTGGTGACGTGAAGTCATGTGACCGTGCTGTAGTTCCTTTATAGCCCAACATTAGCCGCCTTTAGCTTATCGGTGGTGACGTGAAGTCATGTGACCGTGCTGTAGTTCCTTTATAGCCCAACATTAGCCACCTTTAGCTTAGCGGTGGTGACGTGAAGTCATGTGACCGTGCTGTAGTTCCTTTATAGCCCAACATTAGCCACCTTTAGCTTAGCGGTGGTGACGTGGGTTAGGGTTAAGGTTAGCTTCCAATCGGTGCTAACTAGCTTCAGCTACGTAGCATGTTTCTTGTAACTGCAGCCTTGGTGTTACATAGCAGTAGCACGTTAAGAAAGCAGGAAGTAAATACAAAGGAGCATTCCGTTTTTATGATATCTGGAACAAAATACCAGAAAACTGCATCCAATAACTATTCATATCTCACACTGCACTGTAACTTGTATTTGTATATGTTATACTTGTCTTATTCTATATTAGCTTAATTCTCTTGGCTTTCTGTTGACTGTATTTAACTGTGTTTTTGTTGCACTATATCCTAACAATGTTATACTTTTGTAAGGCGCTTTGAATTCCCTTATGTTGAAATATACTGTATTAATTAACGTAGGCTACCTTGTTTACGATACGATGGGATAATACTTTAATGGTCAGATCAAGTCTGAAATGTGACTTGCATCACAGCAGCTCCATGTGTAACATCAACAGACACATATCAAGTTGTTTCCATAAAGAGATGAAGATGCATGTGCTCAGCGGTCGAGTTGATGAGTGTTTTTAACAATTCTCTCTCTCCTCTCCAGCCCATGATGGACAGAAGCAAGTCAGACGAACTGCCGAAGATGCAGTGTGGCTTCATCGACTTCGTTTGTGCTTTTGTGTACAAGGTCAGACATCAAACAACAGCAACATTCACTGCTTTTAACCTAGCCAACACTCGCTGCTATAAACACCTGTAGCTACATTGTTCTGAAGGTATAACACCTGTAAAGTCTGACCTAGGAATTGATTTTAACTTGACATTTTGCTGGGTGACTTAAAGGGGACCTATCATGCAAAATGCACTTTTGTACGTCTTTTATACATGAATATGTGTCCCCGGTGTTCCAGGGAACTCACCAAGTGTCAGAAAACACAACCCTCTCTATTTTCCTCCATACCCAAATCTCTAAAAAAGGGGCTGCAACGGATCTGATAAAAACTGATCCAGATTTGAACACTGTCCTGACGTCAGGACGGTGGGCGCTACGGCTATTGGGCCAACTCCACCAATCAGGAGGAGACAGCCACGGCCATTGCCGTTCGAAAGCGCTGGAGACGCTGTAGTACATATGCCAGGCCTGTAGGTGGTGCTGTTCTCACAGAATCAGCCCTTGCTAAAACAGAGCTAGAAATTGTCAAATTGAGCAAAATGAGGCATGGCTAAAATGCATGATCTGTTTGGTATTTTGAAAAAAAAAAAGTATAAATATGCCTTATATAGGTATGGTCCTACACTATATTATTCAAATATAGCATGATAGGTCCACTTTAATTTCAAAATGGTCCAGGTGTTGATAATCGACTTTCCTCACACCCTCTGATTCAAGATTCAAGATTCAAGTCTCTATCACCATGTGCTCAGCAGCTACAGTGTAGATATGTCAATGACAAACTGAAGTCCTCCTCCAACAGAGCAACATGAATATATATAGGACATAAACAAATAAAACAGATAAAATAGTGCAAGAGAATGTTTTGAGATGTGCAAGTAAATACAAATAAAGTAGAAATAGTGCAAGAAGAGTCTATGTACAATATATGATATATAGATAAATAATTTGCAAGATGCAAACAGATGAATGTTATGGATGTTCTTTAAAGAGTTCAGGTGTTTAATAGTCTTATGGCCTGTGGGAACAAACTGTCTTTGAGTCTGGTGGTTTTAGAGCTGATGCTCTGAAAGTCCTTTGTTAGTGTTGTCAAATATATAGATGATAGATAGATGGATAGATAGATAGATGGATGGATGGATGGATGGATGGATGGATGGATGGATGGATGGATGGATGGATGGATGGATGGATGGATGGATGGATGGATGGATGGATGGATGGATGGATGGATGGATGGATGGATGGATGGATGGATGGATGGATGGATGGATGGATGGATGGATGGATGGATGGATGGATGGAGGATGGATGGATGGATGGATGGATGGATGGATGGATGGATGGATGGATGGATGGATGGATGGATGGATGGATGGATGGATGGATGGATGGATGGATGGATGGATGGATGGATGGATAGATAGATAGATAGATAGATAGATAGATAGATAGATAGATAGATAGATAGATAGATAGATAGATAGATAGATAGATAGATAGATAGATAGATAGATAGATAGATAGATAGATAGATAGATAGATAGATAGATAGATAGATAGATAGATAGATAGATAGATAGATAGATAGATAGATAGATAGATAGATAGATAGATAGATAGATAGATAGATAGATAGATAGATAGATAGATAGATAGATAGATAGAGTTTTTTATGTCAAGGATTAGTTAAACGTGATCGTGTCCTCTCCAGGAGTTCAGTCGTTTCCACGTGGAGATCACCCCGATGCTGGAGCGCCTGCTGAACAACAGGAAGGAGTGGAACGCCCTGAAGGAGGTGTACGAGGGCAAGCTGGCGGCCATCGAAGGGGTAAAGACAGCCAAGGAGGAGGCGGTGGCCAGAAAGCAAGGTAAGAGACTCTCAGACTGAGAACCATACCCCACTGATGGATTTAAAAACAGCAGTTGCTAACAAGTGTCTAAATGAGACGACTAAACGTCATCACGCCTAACATTTGCCACCTTTAGCTTAGCGGTGGTGACGTGAAGTCATGTGACCGTGCTGTAGTTCCTTTATAGCCCAACATTAGCCTCCTTTAGCTTAGCGGTGGTGACGTGAAGTCATGTGACCGTGCTGTAGTTCCTTTATAGCCCAACATTAGCCACCTTTAGCTTAGCGGTGGTGACGTGAAGTCATGTGACCGTGCTGTAGTTCCTTTATAGCCCAACATTAGCCACCTTTAGCTTAGCGGTGGTGACGTGAAGTCATGTGACCGTGCTGTAGTTCCTTTATAGCCCGATATTAGCCACCTTTAGCTTAGCGGTGGTGACGTGAAGTCATGAGACCGTGCTGTAGTTCCTTTATAGCCCGATATTAGCCTCCTTTAGCTTAGCGGTGGTGACGTGAAGTCATGTGACCGTGCTGTAGTTCCTTTATAGCCCAACATTAGCCACCTTTAGCTTAGCGGTGGTGACGTGAAGTCATGAGACCGTGCTGTAGTTCCTTTATAGCCCGATATTAGCCTCCTTTAGCTTAGCGGTGGTGACGTGAAGTCATGTGACCGTGCTGTAGTTCCTTTATAGCCCAACATTAGCCACCTTTAGCTTAGCGGTGGTGACGTGAAGTCATGTGACCGTGCTGTAGTTCCTTTATAGCCCAACATTAGCCACCTTTAGCTTAGCGGTGGTGACGTGAAGTCATGTGACCGTGCTGTAGTTCCTTTATAGCCCGATATTAGCCACCTTTAGCTTAGCGGTGGTGACGTGAAGTCATGTGACCGTGCTGTAGTTCCTTTATAGCCCGATATTAGCCTCCTTTAGCTTAGCGGTGGTGACGTGAAGTCATGTGACCGTGCTGTAGTTCCTTTATAGCCCAACATTAGCCACCTTTAGCTTAGCGGTGGTGACGTGAAGTCATGTGACCGTGCTGTAGTTCCTTTATAGCCCGATATTAGCCACCTTAGCTTAGCGGTGGTGACGTGAAGTCATGTGACCGTGCTGTAGTTCCTTTATAGCCCGATATTAGCCTCCTTTAGCTTAGCGGTGGTGACGTGAAGTCATGTGACCGTGCTGTAGTTCCTTTATAGCCCAACATTAGCCACCTTTAGCTTAGCGGTGGTGACGTGAAGTCATGTGACCGTGCTGTAGTTCCTCTATAGCCCAACATTAGCCACCTTTAGCTTAGCGGTGGTGACGTGAAGTCATGTGACCGTGCTGTAGTTCCTCTATAGCCCAACATTAGCCACCTTTAGCTTAGCGGTGGTGACGTGAAGTCATGTGACCGTGCTGTAGTTCCTTTATAGCCTAAAGTTAGCTTTTTACTTCAGAAATCATGAAGTTGTTTTAATATGTGGAGGAGCATTTTGTATGGTGTAATTTTCAAATGGTAGAAAATATCTTCCTCTCTGTCTTTCCTTCCTCCTGCAGCAGCGGCTGCAGCCCAGTCGCAGTCAAAGACTTGTATTGTCGGCTAGAGAAGCTACGACAGCAACAGGTTGCTTTGCTTCATGTTTATCGTCCCCCCAATATATTTATCTCTAATCTCAAAATACCTGTTTCTGTTCTATCAACTGTTTCTCTTTTGCTTTCTTTCTGCTCAGCTTTACTGTGTATATTTACTACTACTGTATTAGACTCAAATGCACTTAGTATCATAGCATTTGGAGTCTGAGGGAAATGGTAAATGGACTGTACTTATAAATCTCTTTATCAGGTCTTCTCGACCCCTCAAAGCTCTCTACATACTACGAGTCATTCACCCATTCACACCTCATTCATGCAGAGCAGCACTAACTCTAGGGAAGCTAGCACACACCTGTGGGGGAAACTTCTGAAGCAATAGGAGTCAGGACTCAGAGAGACACGATGGAGAGCTGGAGCTTTGATGGCAAACACTGACGGTTTATTTGGAGCTTCGGCCGGAGAATTCACAAGACATGTCACGGGCCACGGTCTGACCACAGGGTTGAGATGCCACAATCCATTCTGAAGAGCCCTCCTGTAGCTCCAGGTTTTAACTAGTTCAGAGTGTAATAATCAACATTCTTCAATAGAGAGACTAAACAGCTGAGGACACTGAATCACATTTGTTGTCGCTTATGGCTCGGGGTCACCTACACCCCGAGAAGGATGTGTTCCAGGTGTCCCACAACAATGACTATCTCTGAACGAGAGCTGCCCGGTCACAAACTGGTAACAACAACAACTTGCTAGGGCAGCCCCTCCTTAAGGGAGATAGCGGCTGCTCAAGGTTGGTCAGCTGCGTCAGAGGGCGAAAGATGACATGCAGGGGAAATTATTCCCTGACAACACACACAATCACACACACACACAATCACACACACACACACACACACACACACACACACACACACACACACACACACACACACACACACACTCACAGGACGCAGCACTCCCTTGCAGCCACATACTGTATCTGTATTAAAAATCTGAATTAAAAACCAGAAAGAGTAACGTTCGGTATACTACGTCTGTGATGATGGCAGGACATGATATATATTATTTACTGTAGGTTTTACTGAGGAGATGAATTGCTTGTAAGTCTTTTGCAGAAATTAGTAAAGATGCATCTCTGTTTATGACTTGGTGTTTGTGTGTTTACTGAGCTGTGTGTGAGTTTATTTGATCCTGTACAGTTTAGTGTCGGTGTGACTGTGGGTCAAAACATAGGATGATTCTGAGTAGGGCTGCACACATAATCAAAATGTTATGCAATATGAACTTCTGCAATATTCAATCATTTCTTTCTTTCAGAGGACAATAAACCTAAGTGTTGTAACGCTACACCTGATCTTAACCCAAGGATAATATCAGAGGGGAGATTGCTTTGCGACTGGTTTTGTAACATTGATTATCCCATCCTTAAAGGTGGGGTAGGTACGTTTGAGAAACCGGCTCGAGATACACTTTTTGTTATATTCCATGGAATGCTCTTAACATCCCGATAGCAATGAATATCTTAAGTGCTTTGACAAAAAATCCATAAAAACATGTCATCTGTGGAAGCCGTAGCGCTGTAAAAAGTACGACCAATCATCTGAGCCGGCCCGGCTAAAATAACTGGATGGCCTACCTGCCTGTCAGCCTTCCATCTGTGCACAAACTTATCTCGTGCCCTCATTGGTCATGTGCGCGTTCGTGTGTGTTGGAGGAGGGGCTCTGTAAGGAAGGGGCAGATTTTTTCCGGCTGTGTATTTTCAAATTCTAGCGATCTCGAGCTGGTTTCTCCAAAATTACCTACCCCACCTTTAACTGTATATATTAAGCAAAGTATGAGCTAACATTTTTATGCATTGTACAAATTCTTAGTTGACGTTATTTGCCATTAGTAAATTGTTCAGTAACTAGCGTACTCATTTAGCATGTAGCATGAGATGGCACAAAAACGTCAAATTAGCGTCATAATTAGCTTTTGAATATTTTTGTATCAAGGAAAGTGACTAGCAGGGGCTTGTTTTTAAAGTTAGATAATGCCACCCCTACCAAAAAAAAGTTAACAAACAAGTAAACAAATGATAAGCTCTGCTAAAGGATACAGTTATTTACCATTAGTAAATTCAGTAAGTAGCTTACTCATGTAGCCTGTAGCATGTAGCATGTAGCATGAGATGGCACAAAAACGTGTCTTATCAACTAAACTCAAATTAGCTTTTTAATATTTTTTTAATCTCTGTTAAAGGATACAGTTATTTGCTGTGAATTTAACCTATTGTTATAACTCGTTTATAATAGCTAAATTAATCAAAAATATTATTTACTTTTTTAGTTCCCTGCAACTGACCGTCAATAAGTCATCCCAAGTGGAAAACCTACCTGCAAAGATATGAGGACCCAGAGGAGAGGAACACACAACCCTTACAGTCCAACACAAGCCGCTTTGTTCCCCATCAGACTCTGAAGCACTTCTGTCAGCACTTCCTGAACTCTCGCTGCACTTTTATTTCCTCCCCAGACGACGTGTTGAAAAAGTTTTGCACTCTTTTCATCCGTGAGGTTTTACAACCCAGCGAGCATTTGACTGACAGCGGAGAGAAGGAGCTGAAATGTAGTTCCCCCAAAAATAGGAATCCCCTGCTGGCAGTGCGCATTTCCATCAAAAGTAGTTTATCACCATGAACATGAAGAGCAAAACGTGCCATAATATGCCACGTTAAAACCATGCTTTTTTAATATTTTAAAACGCCTCAGGGTCAGACACACAGGTGTATTGTCCTTTGTCTTCAGCGATGCACAATGTCATTTTTAATTTAGCATTATATGTATATTAAAGCACTTATAACACGCGTCAGCAGTCGTGGTTCGGCTTACTCTCAATGATGTCTATAATAAACACTAACAATCTTCTGGCAGCGTTTTGTATTTGCATTTTGGAGTCCAGTTTCTGAAGATGTTTCTTCATGTGTAAAGGAACATTTGACGTGGTTTCAGCATTTCAACGTAAGAGAAGACACACATAT